TTCCTCGGGCAATTGCATCAAAAAAAAGCCGCGCCAGTGTCATTAATCGGACGCCGAAGCCGCCCGAGGAGCTAACTAAAAACAACAAACCAAGAGGCTCGATCTCGAAAATCGAAAGGACAAAAAACAAAAACGGCCGAAATAAAAAAGCGGCTTAACACTGCCGCCCGATCTTATTCCTCGCGGAATCTAGTGGGCGCAAGGTAATTACCTGGCAGCAAATGGCACCACTGGCCGCCGGTTAAGAACTTGCCGGAAACCTTTCCAGTGCGGGGCTGCCAAAGCATCCACCACCCGAGCCACCCCTGCCCAAGGCCTTCGCGATGCAGTGAGCCACACGCAGGACCGAGGCGGCAAGAGATGCCCGCTCTGTGTCCCGGGATCGCTGCCCAGCCGTAGCGAAGCCGATAAGCAGACGCCAGAAAGGCACAGAAAAGAAGAGAAGGCAGCACGCGGAACCGATAAAAAAGCGGACGGCTCAAGAGCAAAACGCGGCCACGCCCTGAGCAAGACTGGGGGAGGCAAACGGGGGAAAAAGGGGGCAGAGAAATCGACAAGGGAACCGAAGCAACGCTGTCCCCTAACGGTTTCGCCTAAGAGTTTCGCGGGGTATTAGAAAGAGAGTCGCTCTCTTTTGGTCCCACCTGATATGAGTTCGCAGCTTACTCGCCCCTCTCTAGTAATTGAACCAAAAAAAGCGGGCAGAGTTTGCTTCTTCTAGTCCTCACTAATATAAGTTCGCAGCCCAATCGCTCCCCTCTAGTAATTGGGCCAAAAAAGCAGAGGGAGCCTGCCTCTGTCTAGCCCCCACTGGAATAAATTCGCAGCCCACTCACTCCCCTCCAGTAATTGAACCGAAAAGGGTGAGGCCATCTCTCCGGCCCAGAATCTAGATGAGAGAGCGGGGGTCGCGCATGTCTTTCATCGGGGGCCGAGTCTCATACTTCCGAGCCCGCCGAAATTTGTCCACCATCCCAGACGTTGGAAATATATAGAGAGACTGCCCCGCAATGTGCTTGGTCTTTGTTTCGAACCCGGCCCAACCAAAAACCCGACGGGCCTAGCCCACCCGGTCGGCGCGCTCGGAGAGATGGACCGCCCTAGGGATAAGCAGCCCGCCGCTTCGTTTCACGAACGCGGCGACCAAAAGCCCGACGGGCTTAGCCCACCCGATCGGTGGGCTTGGAAAGATGGACCGCCATAGGGGTAAGCAGCCCGCCGCTTCGTTTCACGATCGCGGCAGCCAATAGCCCGCCGGGCTTAGTCCACCAGGCCGGCGAGCTCGGAAAGATGGACCGCCCAGGCGCAAGCAGCCCGCCGCTTCGTTTTACGAACGCGGCAACCAATGGCCCGACGGGCTTCCTAATGCGCTGGGGAATGGCCTCCGCAGCGAAGTAAGAGCACCCACACCGAAGAGAACCCGCGCCGGAGACCTACCAAAGCGAGCCAGGGCCCTGGAGGAGTCTCGAAGTTTGTGGCAGAGGCTTTCCATCTGTTTCAGGCTTCTCCAAAATAATAGACGGGCATTTATGAAATTTGTCAAATTTGACCAGTTTCGGCTCGCTCTTGCTGGCTTCCGCTTGTTCCTTGGGATGGGTGGGCCTCTCTCAGCAGATTTGTCCATGGTGTTCCCTGCTCCCAAGTCCTGAAGGCTGCGCCATCGGTTAAGCTAAGAAAAAACCGCACCGCAAGACCGCCAAGCGCACCCCAGCCGCGGCGGCCAGCAGCTGCCCTCAAACACAGGGCGGAGCCAGTCCAAAGACTTCGCCCAGCTTGAGAGACACAGCACGGCACACGCCAGCCGCAGCCACCGCGGCGCGCCCTCGAATCACCGGGGGAGGAGAAAGGGAAGAGAGAGGGGCAGACAGCAGCGACATGCGAGCCAACCCGCGCAGAGCTCGCAGGGCTGGGCTCTCTGAAGAGCTCTCGCGGCTGTCGTCTTCCTCTGGCTCCCTTCTTCGCTCCATCCTCGCCCCCCTGTGATTCGAGGGCGCGCCGTGGTGGCTGCGGCTGAAGCATGGCCACGCACCGCCCAACGGCCTGAGGGTGTTCGCCCGTCTTTTCTGCTAAGTCGTTCCACCTGTTTGGCCGTCGTTCTGTCTGTTCTGTCGTTCTGTCCGTCCCGTCGTCTTGTCTGATCCGTCGCCTTGTCTGTCCCGTCGTTCTGTCTGTTCCGTCGTTCTGGCTGTTCGGTCTTGTTCCTGTCTCTTCTGTCGTTCTCCTTGCTTGGTCGTCTTGTCTGTTTTGTCGCTCTGTTCGCTCCGTTGGTCGTTCTGTCTGCTGCGTCGTTCTGCTTGTCTGGCTGTCTCCTCTGTTCAGTCGCCGCGGCGATGTGCAAGCGGAGCAAAGTAGCGACGCACCTGCGCACCGCGACAAAGCGACGCGGCGGCGGGGTGCATAGTATCCCCGGAGGCTGGCGCGCTTGTGGCCTGTGCTCTCACTGTGGTGGGTGGCGAAACACGTCCAAAACCTCTAAGGCGGCGAAGGTTTTCCGGGTGCCGCTATCGGTTTCGCCTGGGTCGCTTATCCATCGGCTTCGGCTTTTGAACACTTAGGGAGCAAACCCGCCAAAAAGCGAGACACCCAGCGAGGCCCCACAGATGGGGAGTGGCCACATCGCAAAACCAAAAAAGCGAAGACAAAACGCAAAAAGCTGCCGGCCGTTTTGCAAGTCCCTGAGCGGTTTCGGCTTGCCTAAGTTCTGTCCCTTAACAGTTTCGAACTTCGTGCGGGCACCGGTTTCGGGTGGACGAAGCTCGACCGGCATGGGGCACGTACTAAGGCCATCGAGTAAGGCCGGCCTTGCTTCTTGTTCGCCCAATAAGGAGCCCAAAACTGTAAGCCTTTCCCGCTCTTTGTTGTTCTGTTCTCGTTGTTGTTTCAAAGTCAAGATCTGCATCGTTTCGGTTTTTCCGTCAAATTTGTAATGTCCATAAGGATCAAAGCTGGCGCGTTTTCGCTCGTGTTTTCACTAAAAAGTAAATTGATTATCATGCCCCCGGTACGCTTTCAGGAAGTAATGGATTCCCTTTGCTTCTTCTTGTTCCTGGTGCTGTTTAAAAATGTGGGAAAAGTGAGCTGATGCATTTTGATGATTTTCCCCGATCCTTATGGTGCTACTGTTATAAAAGTGGCGGACTACTTTGGTACTTGCGTGGCCTTTACGCCTTCCCTCCTCAAGACCAAACAAACCCAACAGGGACAAACCTGCACAAACCTGCGCGACTTCGGCCAAACCTGCGCAGTATTGCCGTAGAACTGCACTGGTAAGCTTCTACACTTACGAAATACCCGGCCCGTTTTCTGTTCTCCTGCTCCGCTGCTACGGTCGCACCGGACTGGCCTGTAGTCGGTTTCTTGAGCGGAAACACCGAAAGAGCCACTAAGCTACAGTATTGCGCCCTCGCAATTTAGTAGGGCCCGCGTTTTGGACCCTACCCCCCGGGCCCTTCGCATTCCTTCGGCCCCGCGGGGTTGAGACGCTCGCGCCCCTGCCTGCCGATGTCGGAGCGCTTCCCCCGAGCAGCGGCCGCGGCTGGGTTTGCGCGCGCCCGCCGACCGCGACCAGGACCGCGGCGCCCCTGTTCCTCCCTTACGGGCCTCGCCGTCCTCTATAGCGGCCGGAGAGATCTGGAGGAGACAATCGAACCCGCACCCGTCCCCCGTAGGGTCTAAAGCACGGGGACTAGAGGCTTACGAGAGTGATTTTTTCGTATTCTGGTGTCGATTGATTCATCGCGGCGGCCTGAACCGTTTACGCAAGCAAATCCTCCCCGGCGTTTTCCCTGCGTGCGCTCTGAGCTCCATCGCCTTTTTCTTTTCCCTGCGTGCAGGAGACAGGGTAGCGGGACTCCATTATATTTCCCTTGGCACCAGAGAGAATGCGTTTCCGAGAAAAAAAGCAAAAAAACTAGAAAAAGCGTTTTTGGCTGCGCTAGGTGTTCTTTTGAGATTGGGGGGCAAGAGGTAGCGCCTGCTCCGCAAGAATGGTCATACGGAGAAAGCGAGCTACACGTGAATTCGAATACAAGAGTAAGTGTACTACTATTCGAATACAAGAGTAAATGAGCTATGCGTGAACATCATTTCTGTGTTTCTTATCTGCTCCTGGACAAGAGGTCATCACGCATAAATCTCAGAGCCCAACCGGAACCATGTGAAACCCAATAAAGCACCAACAAGAACAAGCAGAATGGACGATTCCATCGTTTCATCTTTTGCAATCTATAGCTGACAGGCTTTTTGCAATCTAAAGCTGACAGGCTTTTGGCAATCTATAGCTGACAGGCTATCCGAGGAATCAGATTTTTCGATTTTTTCGCAGAACAAAAGACCTTTCAGAACCAACGCAGCAAATTCTGAACGCCGAACCCCAAGTCCTTTCTTCTCACCTCCGACGATACAGCACACTTCACCCGAACGCCGAACCCCAAGTCCTTTCTTCTCACCTCCGACGATACAGCACACTTCACCCTACTGCGCTTCTCTCCAGCACACGGCTTTTCTCTACTGCACACCCCACTAGTACCTGAAGAGCCAGTAGTACCTGAACGACTACTGACCTACCAGTACCAGTTGTACCTGACCGAGGGCAAATATCTCCACTACCACAACATGTCCTCGTGCACTACTACAACGTGTGTGACATGGGTAAAGTCCTCGCGTGATAAGTACGGGATGGCACCATCGCGATGCATTTAACAACATTCTTCGATGACCATCAGACTCGCACCATCGCGATGCAGTTAACAACATTAAAGGTCCTTCTTTGTCGCTGGCATGCTGAATCGGGGAAATTCTTTGAAAGGAACTCTTATGAAGGAAATACTCATCAACATCAAGTTCCAAAAGGCTTTTTTGCGATTTGGAAAAAGCTAAGACATAATCTGCCCATTTGAACACTGCTACTCCTTTCCTGATCAAGACTGCTGTCGTGTGCTCGTGGCTTTGCATTACTTCAAAAATGGCTTTACATTACTGATATACCAAGAACCTTCATTCTCTTCTACCGGGAAAACCCGGGTCCTCGCTCTTCCATGATATTCGTACCGCGCAGCAGACTTGTGTGGACAATGAGGGCCGCTGTCGTGGTCTCAACAGTGTCTTCGATACCGACGTGGGGAGGTATATCTACGAAGTTTAGGGCTTCTCATTGTTTTAACCGGAATACGATTCCCACTTTCTCTCCTGAGGGTATTGACTTTCCAGCGGTGGCATTTTTCTGTGTCTCTTTGTCTGAGAAGCTGAAGTGATTGGAAGTTAGAAAAGCTCTTCAGAGTCTTGTCTTGTGTATCTTTCTTTTAGAGGAATGACTTCGAAGAATTAAGATTTAGGGTTACATAATCAGTTACGGTGAGCTCTAAGAAGTCGTTTTTGGAGACGGCGAAGACGGCCTCGCGCAACATGGAGACGTCGACGGAGTCCAACATGGAGATGCCTTTTTGTTACGTCGTGTAGCTTTGGGCAACTAGATCCATATAGACTGTGCTTAGAATAGAGCTCACGACCCGGACCCTAATCCATCTTGAGACTCATCTTGGAGCCGTTTTTAGGCGTTGGCCTGTTCACTTATCAATCAAACTACCGGGGTGGGTTCGACCGCCTTCTCGCGCCTGAAGAGGGTTCTAAACTTCAATCCACCTCAACTATTTACTCGTTGACAAAAGGAGCTCGATTTACTTAGTAGAAAATTGAGTGAAATATACTTCTACTACTCTCTTTAATTTCGGCCAGTGTACGCCGGGTCGCGCAGAAAACGGGGACGGACCTTGCGGTGGTGTTGACCCAATCCGGCCAACACCGATGGACCTACGATTGCGCTTGCTACAATGACGAGAAGAGTCGATTTATGGACGAGTTGTGATTAAGTACTTCAATAGGCTTCAAGAAGAGTAGTACCAAAAAGATGAGTTCCAGTTAGTTCATGGTTGCCAGCATATAATAATGAGTTAGAATTAAATCGCGATTTCCGGCAGATGGCGAGTTGCTATTGCTTAGTGATCATCTTCCTTGACCATCTCGGTGACATGACTATATAGTCACTTTCATCACATAAAGATTTTCTATCGATTATAATGTATGTTATCACAGAAATCTTCATGATTAGCAATTATACTTTCGACGACCTTGATGTCCTGTGCCTTCATATTGTCTCTCTACATCGATCTCCTGCGATACTATCGAACTGGTGTGCCTGCAATGTCTCTGATAGTGGACCTAGCAGCTTTCTTGACTGAGCCCCTTTCGGAATCACGTTGTCCTGCGGCTACTCTTTCAGCCGTTCTGCTCAAGTTATGACGGATTTTTACTTCGATGTTTTCAGAGAGTCTCGTCCATACACCACACGACTTGCTCCTTCCCAACATGCTGTAAGATCAGAGACTACGACGGACAACTACATTACTTCTTGCATCAATGTTTTATTCAAACTGGTTTCAAAGAAGGAGTCTCTAGTCGTTTATCAAAATAGTTTTTAACTAAAGAAAGAAGTAGCTCAATACCTAAATTTGAATGTTCCGTTTCATAAGTGAACAAGGCAGCCTATTTCCGTTGTTCAAAAATTTACTACCAAGATGTCCTCGCAGGTTGGGCTCGGTGTGCGAATGTATAGTAAGCCACGAGTTGCGGTTTCTACTTTTGAGAGTTCTGACAAGAAAACATTGGATCTCCTTATGCATCAAGAGACCATTTCCGGGGACCTCTAACGACAGTCGAGGAGATGGCGCACTATGATCGCCGTGGCGCGTTACGCGTATTTGACAGGTATGGGGTGGAGCTTCTTCGCGCACTCGAAAAGAACCGTTTGACACCAGAAGAGGTAGACACGGTCTGGTACCTTAGGCAACGCTTTGTGGACATGAAAAATAAGCTAGGGATTTTTCGCGGGAAAGAATTGGCATTGGGTGGAAGAGGATTGGCATTGGGCTTGGGGAAAGAGGTTTTATGAAGACAAAGATGTAGACAAGTTGTTGTAGAAGTGCTTTAGGTTGCATAGTTTTGTTGTCGCGAGGATGCGCTATCGTTTGTAGATTGGATTAAATAGCTGAAGGTCCTCGTGTATGTTCTTGCTGACTTTTGAGAGCTGCGCTAAGAAAAGAAAAAGTTCATGGAGAGGATTCAGATTCTCACCTCGTCGACTTTGCTCTCTCGTTCTGCAAAGAAGACTTGGGGTGGCTGAGTGCCTTGTTGCAGCAGGAGGGCGATCGCTTTAGAGGAAAAGGGACTCGGATTCGTATAGTACTCTACCGAAAATGCGGCGCTTCTGTACCATTGTCGCTCGGCAACACAGCACATATACGCGAGATCAACGCATTCTTGTTGGACGACGATAAATATCTGAAACCAGAAGAGGACAGATCGGCGATCAAAACGGAAGTTCTTCATCTTGGAGAAAAGGCTGTAACAACTAGGGACGAAGCAAGCTCTGACTACGTCCAGCTGCTCCGTCGTGAAGAAGCCTCTTCAAACAAGAAAGAAGACCTCATCGTGGAGAAAAGTAGTAATCCACATAACGCTGAAACTGCGCTTGTCCGCAACAGAAATGCAGATATCGGTATTAAAAACTTTAAAACTGATAGTACACGTTTGTTCTTGAGTGACTTGTGGCGTGACCAGTCGATTAGGAACGGCACATAGTCAGCACTTATAAGCGAGGCACTTAGCCGTGGCCTCTAGTCACCACTTAAGAGAAGCACTTAGAATCACTACTCAGAAGAAGCACTTAGTCACCACTTAAGCGAAGCACTTAGTCACCACTTGAGGGAAGCACTTAGAGTCACTACTTAGGGGAAGCACTTAGTCACCACTTAAGAGAAGCACTTAGTCACCACTTAAGAGAAGCACTTAGAGTCACTACTTAAGAGAAGCACTTAGTCACCACTTAAGAGAAGCACTTAGTCACCGCTTAGCCGAGGTTTTTAGTCACCACTTAACCGAGGTTCTTAGTCATCGCTTAACTGCTGCACTTAACAACCGCCACTAAAATTCGCTACTTTCTATTTTCCGCCACACTTTCTTTCCCCTATGAAGAGGCATCACCCACCATCACCACTCAGTGGCAACGGCTTCATCATCGTCGGACGGCCCAACACCGGGATCGGCACAAGAAAGTCATATATGGTGGGAGCGTTGGCAAATATTAAGGGTAGGTTAAAGGTGCTTTTGTTACCGTTTGTTATGCTTATGGCTCTCCTAAGGGGGACAGCCATAACAAGCGGGATAAACGAACACCAAAAGCCTACCTCTAAAAATAGACGATGATACAAGCAGCCACTCAGTCTCCAATCCTAGGAAGCGAGAAATCCTTCGGTTTGGTGTATTCTACCTCTACGATGTGGAGGACGATATACGAGCGGACGAGTGCAGCGCCTATGTTGCTCATCTCTCGCTCTTTCATGACGAAGCACAGACGAAAATTGTATTTCCGTCGATGGGCGGCAATGATGGAATGTTGAGTTTGGAACCTAACGCTAACGAAGGAGGAGTAGTAGTGGATGATGATAATGCTTCTACCAGAGGACGAGTACGAAGAAAAACAAATAATACCGGTGAAGAATCAGAACAAGTAGCTGCTAATGGCTCGTCTATTAAACAGCCCAGAAGCAGAACCTCACAAGCCTTGCAAGTCGAATTCTTAACCCTCGCAGAGAGTACTTTTTTCCTCCACGCTGATGCGGAAAACCACGTACAACCTTCCACTGCTCTGATCCGACAGTTGCTTGCTGCGTTGGTATTGGAACGTTCTTGGGTGTGGCAGGCTCGGAGGCTCTTTCCTGTGCAAAAAGAGCATTGGCAAGCGATTGAACAGGAGAGAAGGAGGCATAGTGTCATGGTAGATTCTAATGTAGACGACTCTACTTCTGGAAACGAGCTTCCATCACCATTATTCTTAAGGCTTGGGAGTTGACCTATCATCTAAGGGCGTCTCTATGTCTTCTTCAAGTAGGAAAGCCACAGATATGCGAGCTAGAGATGCCAAGTTTCAACCCCTAATATTCAAGTATCATGGCGATGTCGAGGATGATTCTACATTGCTTAGGGAGATGGTAAACGTTCGGGAGCAGAGAAGTGCTGACCATGTTGGTGGATTTGTGCTTGACGGTGATCTGGTTATGACATTTTCCTCTGCTGAAGATGATTTGTGATGATTTGTGACGGTTACAGTGCTTTAGTACGTAGACAAGATGAATTTGAATTGCTCAATCTTCAATCAACCACCTTAGGAAAGAAAAATGAAAAATGACCTCCCAGCATCTGCAGCGGACCAGCTTGAGACATTGCAAGATACATAATGACTTTTTTCTCATGAAGAGAGAGAGTTTCTTGAATTCTAAGGCCAATGAAATTGTTTGATGCCTTCATTTTTACGACAACGCTTTCCTTCATCCTTCTTTTGGTGGACTATCGTTATACATAGATTATGTAACCACGTCTGTGTCCTCTCTTTACGTTTTCTTTTATTTCTTCCTCACCGTCACTCACCACCAAAAGGCTCGTCATCTAATTCCATCCCAGTACTATTTTTCACGCAGAATTTCATCAACTATGCGGATAGCAAACGCTTACTCGAAGGCAACGTCTGGCAGCGTTTCTACACAGAACTCTTTGGTGCTTCTCTCCCGATTAATGATTAAGGGTAGGTTCTTAAAGGGGTTTTTGTTTTTGAAACCGTTCGCTTTGCCTTTCTGAAGGAGGAAATGCATAGGGGTACACGAACACCAAAAGCCTACCTCTAAAATGAGGAAGACCTGAAGTTCTACTGTTGCGCGCATTTCGCAGTACCTAAGCGTGCGGTCTTGCGACGAACCGCTAGTTTCTACCAAAAGTTCCTGCGGTATATGACAAGCTACGAGTCCTTCACGGACTTTATAGGAGTCAGTCTTGGGAAAGACGTAACTAGGAGAAGAGGAAGACCTCGACGTAGTAAACAAATAGCGGGTCCTCTTGAAAGGCATAGTAAACATCAAACACCGGTATTGGAGAAACAAGCCCGGCGTGAAGAAGATAAACAGGCAAGTACTTCTATCTCGATTAACACCAATACCTCCGGCTCCTCTATGCTAGGTGGTCGCATCGTGCCTGTCGCAACATGGTACGACCAGGTGTGTCGTTACCCGTGTCAGCACTTAATGAACTTCTGGCACATCATGTTCGGAGGAACCGTGCGACAGCGTAAGCGCTACTTGGATCCATCATTGCCTCTCTTTGCCCAAATGCAAGGCATCGACATGAAGGGGTACCAAGAATACATAGCAGAAATGCACAACTAGGGGAAGAGGATTTTCGAAGTAACTAGACTTGTCATCGCTATTGTCAAAGCCAAAAGGAAGAAATTGCTTTTCTTCGGAAAGTCAGAAGATTTTTATCAGTGCCAAGGGCTGAGAAAAATTGCTATTGTCAACAGAACGAGATGCCAACAGGCACGTTGAGTAATTGCTATTGTCAACAACAGAAGGAGCTCTGCATCTGAGCTTCAATACTAGTGGGAGAAAAATTGCTACTGTCAACATGAGAATATTAGAGTGCGCGCCAACGCCTCAAAAACTCTTTTTTCCTATTACTGTCAACAGGATTAAGAGCAATTAACGCCATTTGTCGCTGATAAAAATGTCCTTGGCGGCAAAGGAGTTGAGAGTTCTGTGAGTTGAGAGTTCTCTGTGTGTTGAGAGTTAGTGTCTATGTTACTCATTCTACTTATGGTTCGTAAATAAATTGCCCTGCTTGTATCATTGCCCCCTCACCAAACAGTTTTACACTCGGTCAATCAATTGCTTCATGGCACTTTGCATTAATGGCTTTCTGTGTATTGCCAGTGGTTCTCTGTGTGTTGCGAGTTCTATGAGTGAGAGCACAAGCCTAGATTAGTCTTAGAGTGACTTCGTATGTTTGCGAAGACAAGGGTATCCCCCCCCGCTAACCCGATGAGCACTACTGCCGTCAGGAGGGTCTACAAATGTTGTGGGCTCTATTGAACGGGAATGATGGTGAACTGCAACATGCTAATACATACATACATCTGTCGCGTGAACGAGGAGTAACTCTATCTCTGTGACTGACGAGGGCCAAAGCATGGGGAGTTCACGTCTCAGAAGCTGTATGACTGTGTACTGAAGATATTCTAGACAACTCGCGTTCAGAGAATAACGAGAGGCCCGTTCATGGACTGTTGTGGTCAAAGAAAAGAGATGTAGACAAAAAGTCAAATAATGTTTTGAACGAGAGCTTAATTGATTTTCGATGATTCTTTAATAAAGCTCGTCTACGTCAAATGTTTTGAACGAGAGCTTAATCGATTTTCGATGATTCCTTAATAAAGCTCGTCTACGTCAAATGTTTTGAACGAGAGCTTAATCGATTTTCGATGATTCCTTAATAAAGCTCATCCAGGCTTCTATGTGAATGGAGAACCTCCTGTGTGTTGTATGACCCATTTTGAAGCCCCCTTCAATTCTTTACTTCCTGTTCTTTGATTTTTCTCTCAAGACAAGAAGAATATGATCCATTGATGTGATTACAGACACCTTTTGATCCTCCTCCAGCAAGATGTGTGCGCAAATATTGAGCGTACTACCTCTAAACGACGTATCAACAACCTTTATTGGAGTGAGGACACTGAGATAGATAATTACAGTGTAATCCAACGCTGAAGTAGATCTAATCCTCATTGTTTCCTCTTGGTATCTTCCACATTCATCAACCTACAACATTCAGTGTGCTCTTTACGTTCACCAAGAATACCAAAACATCATGACTCGAGTTCTCACCTCTGAAGATCCTGTTGTACGGGAGACTACAGGTGGTGATGCTGTTGTCACTGACGCACCACGCCCTCGTCCTGACAAAAATTTCGACTTTCGTCCTCCAGTTGCCGGTCGGTCCAGCATTGGCCCAGATGCTGCTTCGCCCAAACCTCGCACCTCCAACCCTCCACGACCGGGAAAGGTTCCTCCAAAGCTGAACAGAGGAGGTCCAAGGCCTAAACGAAAGGTGAAAAAAGACGAAGATGGAAACATCTTTGAGACAGCGGATGGAGTTTTCAGTAGTGTTTGGGATTTTTTCTCGCATGTAGGCTACCGATGGAAGCTGTTCGGCAGGCGGTTGAAAGTGTACGGCTTGGCATGGTACATTCGAAGGCAGTATACAAATGCGGAAGCAGAGTCGGAACAACTGCCGGATAACAGTCCCGAACAAGACGCCGTGTGGGAAGAAGTGCATACAAGATGTGCGGAGCTGGTGTACATTAAGGCTTCTAAACATGCAGTTGTAGATGGTGTCATAATACTAGTGCGGCTTCTAAACTAACATGCAGTAGATGTTGGTCGTATCATAAAATAAATACTAGTGGCGTGCGACCTTCTATAATAATGTCGTCGTTGTTCTTAAAGTGAGATCTGTAGTTGTAGTAAAAGGAACAAAACTACTAGTATTGATTACTCTTTTATGAAAAGAAAATCTGTTATCATTATCATGCTTTTCTTCTTCAGAAACTTGATAATGATAACAGATTTTCGTTTCATATCTTTGTATTGTAGTACTAGTAGTGAGCATAGTACGATGATTCCCAATAGATTGCTCTTCCCGGCGATTTCCTTCTTTCTTCTAATCCTTGAAACATGGTTTCGATGGGTGGCTTATGGGTGAAGCTTGGGCAAATGATATCGACCCGTGCCGACGTCTTCCCTGCGCCGATCATTAAGCAGCTGAAGCTCTTGCAGGACGCGTTGCCACCAAGGCCCTTTGAGGAAGTCGAGGAAGCCTTGAGACTCTCTTTTCCTACTTGGCCGTTTGCAGCCGTGTCAGTGGAGCCTCTCGCTACCGCGAGTATTGCCCAAGTCCATCGTGCGACTCTTTTGGATGGAACTAGAGTGGTGGTGAAGGTGAGGCACAAGGGAATTCAAGCGGTTCTTGACCAAGATTTGGACAATGCGCAGTACATTGTCGAATCTTTAGCGGAGGAGAAGCCACAGCTGGACTTTCGAGTCATCTTCCAGGAGTGGGCAGCCGAAACGAGGAAGGAGACCAATTTCCGGCAGGAAGCAGAGAACACGGAGACGGTTTTTTGGAACTTGAGGGAGCTCGCAGCGAAACAAATAGCAAGAGTGCCGAAGGTGATCCGTGGATACCATGTTCCTCTTGCACAAGCAGCTGAAGCATTCTCAGAACAAGAGATAGAAACATTGGTGAAGAGGAGAAACGACGCGTCCAAATTGGCCAGAAGTGCGACAAGAACCCGTCAGAGTACTAGAGCTAGCACTTCTAGCAGAAGAAGTTCAGCGAAAAGCGTTGTGACTCCCTCTACCTCTTCTGATAGCTTCACCCCAGAAGGGCAAGCACCTCCTCAACAAGCACGGACCGTCTACATCCCAACAATACCAACGCGATCTGTCTTGGTCCTAGAGTTCATCGAAGGCGTAAAACCGACAGAACGGGAAGTTATTTTGCGGACATGGGGAGCTGATGGGAATGCAGTGATGGATCAAATCTCCGCGGCGTTTGCGCAGCAAATTTTCGTCGACGGCATTTTCAACGGGGATCCGCATCCAGGCAACTTCCTGATCGAAAGGGTTGAGCCTACGACAGTACGGAGTGATAGTGCAATGATGACTTCTGCTAGTTGTACTAGTGCTGGTACTAGTTGTAGTGGTGCTTCGTCTAGTACGAGTACAGCGGCGAGTGGATCTTCTGATAGCGCGATTGTAACCACGGCAGCAGACATGGCTACGATGGCCAATATTTTAAACGTCAGCACAACAACCAACTCCTCCTTACGTCCTACTGTAGTGCCAGTGTTGTTAGACTTCGGTCTAGTCAAGCGCATCCCCACTAAGCTAAGGATGGCCTTTTGCCGCCTACTAGTTGCCGCACACGAACAAGACATTTCTGCTTTGCTTTGTGCTTTGGGCGAATTGGGTGTGGGAGAACAGGCTTCTCTTGCGAGGCCAGACCGGGCGTTGCAATTCGTTAGATTTGCGTTTCGCGACGCTGAACCAGAAAAGAGCTTTGACGAACAGAAGAGCGAGTGGACTCCAGAGGACCATGATGATGTGGAGGACACTTTTTCGGACATTGAAGAAGAGGAGGATGAGGAGGACGAGGAAGATCTTCAGGGTTCACCAACAAAAGGAACAAATGAGGTGGTCAAGAACAAGGATCTAAAAACAAGTTCGTCCTCTACCACAACACCGACTTCCGCTGCAGCTGACCAAGAAACTACAACAGCTGCTGATGACGCAGCAAATGATGCTTCTGCAGAAGCTGAACCCGAAGTCGACGAAAGCAAAAAGCTCTCCGACGAAGCAATCAAGGCAGCTGGCGGCGTCATGTTTTTGCTTCGCGTGATCTCGTGTTTGCGCGGTATCTCAGTCTCGCTCGGTGTAGGCCATTCCTACTTGCATTCTATGGCGCCGTTCGCGAGAAGCGCTTTGCGCAGGTTTTATCAAGACGACGCAGACGAGACAGAGGACGAGGATGAGAAAAAACTCAGGTTAGAATTTTCGCCCACTCCAACGATGATTGGAAACAAGAAGGTTCAAGTTCTTAATGACCCACAGACGGTTTTGATCGAGAAGTTGGTGTACAAATTGACCGAGCTGCGCGACCAAGACCTAGTATGCGGATTGCAGATGTGCGTTTTCAAGAAGAACGTCAAGGTGATCGACTTCGCTTTCGGGGAACTCGGTCGTGTCGATCCTAGACCGTACAAGCGCACTACATTAGTGAACGCGTTTTCTTGCGGGAAGATTCTACCAGTGTTGCTGATCCATATTTTCGTCGATCGCGGATGGATCGACAGTTTAGACGATTTCGTTGCGGACTACTGGCCCGCTTTTTCGAAGAACGGCAAAGGCAAGATCACCATTCGTGACGCTCTAGAGCATAAAACAGGGCTTGCACGCGCTTTTCCGACGAAGTTCTCGAAAGGACTACAACAAGGAAAGGCAGAAAAAGCTAAGAAAAAGAGGTTTGGCCAGAGTCAAACTGAGGAAGAAAAAGCTAAGAAGAAGGTACCATCTGACAAGGGGAGGTCGATTCGCGCCATCTGCGATTTTGCAGTCATGAAGAAGTGGATCGCGAGTGCAAAACCAGATCCGGAACAGAAGAATTCGGAGAATTACCACGTTTTGACGCATGGATGGATCCTCGCAGGCTTGGCGGAAGAAGTGTACAACAGAAAAGTGTTGAAGCTGGGTGAAGAGCAGCTAGAACAAGCTTTTACTGCTAGGCGATCGACAGTTGCTGCAACAGCGACTAGTACAGTGAAAAAGAGCGAAGAGGACACGTCAGGTCCTAAGTCGGGGACAAAGAGAAGTAGCCAGAACAATAAGCTTGATGTTCGAAAAAGCAAATCTAGAAGTTCCAAGACTGGTGTTTCACCAACAAGAGACGACACTTCTTCTAGTGCTACTTCTAGTGCTTCCAGTTGTTCACCTGGGAAGAGAAAATCATCTGTTTCTGTCACAACCGATAAAAACAACTTGGTTCAAGGTTATGCTGACTACTCTTTTCTAGCGTCGGAGTTCATCCTGAAACCTTTGGGCATCGAGAAAGAAGCCAAGGTGACGCTAGGTGATGGACTCGGTGCTGCCACTTGTGGCATTGGGGAGACGAGAACGGGCCTTTTGGGGCTGAAGAACGTGGCGACGATTGGTGTCCCGGGAAAGATGCTTGGAGGAAGCACGGATTTGTTTGGCAGTATGTCAGGATCATCAGCTGCTTCCTCCAGCACGTCTAGTACCACTACATCTACTAGCACGACTACATCTAGCACGACTACATCATCGACAACTTCTCCCGAGCCGACTCGCGAACAAATGCAATCTTTACGTGGTAGTCTTTGGATGGACCCACGTGCTTTCAACGATCCCTGTGTGCGCAATGCCATCGTCCCTGCTGCAAACACCCACTTTTCTGCAAGAGCGTTGGCTGTCCTCTACAACGAGTTACTACAGCATGCACAGGGAAAGAGCACTAGGTTATTTTCGGCGGACTATTGGACTCGAATTCAGAATGGTGTCCGGGACGATGCAGTCTCATGGAACATGTCGGAAGAGGAATTAGAGAAGAAGAAGGCGATGTTTTTCGGTTACCTGCAGATGATGGCTGGAGCTGCAGGAACACAACCTGGTCAAGCAGGAGAACAGAACTCCAATAGCACAAGCGGAGGCAGCCTCCAAATGGCTCAATCTATACTTCAAAACAACGCAGCGGGATCAACGACAACATCAACTGTTCCCAATCCGAATGCTTTGAGGCCCTTGCTGGAACGATTTCTAGGCGCGGCTCAAAGTTCGACTACAAGTGAAGGCGAGGCGACATCAAATGACTCTACTGCAACTACAACTGCTAAAGTAGATAAAGACGCCCAACTACAATCCCTGCTCGAAAAGTACCTAAAACGTCGCTCTTATCCACTCGGCATTCGACGACTCGCGGAACAAGACGACAATGACGCTTCTCATTTCGCCTACGGTTATCCTGGTTTGTTCACCAATGCCGCGTTTGCCTGTCCCGAGGACGATTTGTCAGTGGCAGTTCTGGTAAATCAGGTGGACTTTGAGGCTGCGGCAACGCATGCGGTTTTGGAAATAGTATCGCAAGAGGAAGGATTTCGCGGAGTGCGCTACGGCATATCCGCAACTGGAAATCGAGTGGGCGGGAACTTGGGAAGTTGAGGAAAGCTGAGGATTAAACTAAAACATGAGCATATTAGGAGACGCCTACTTTAGCATTATCTAGCAACGATTTGGAATCTTCGATAGCTAGAGGTATCCTCGTGTGAAGTAGTTTTTAGCACGTTGATTCATCACTGGGTTCAAAATACAACAACAGACTCCCAAGATTGCATCTTTCATCTTGTTGAAGGTGTCTGTCTCGTGCTCTCCTATACTACAATTTGAAATTTGAGATTGAGACTATGTTCATTAAAACAGGACGAGTGCGGATGATGCTCCGCGGACATCATCTTATCTATATTACAATCTCAATCTTCTCCATCAATTAATAATGCATCTAAAATTTCCAAGCTCAAGAGGTGTTTCCACGTGTTCAAGAAGCGCAATATGCGACGTGTACAAGTATATGAAGTCTGGTATGTGAATTGAGGTTTGCACTGTGGTTTGTAGAACTAGTCTTCTCCTCCGCCAAGACAACTTGCTGGATGCAATCCTTCGAACGCGGCTACCCTAAACCTTAAGGTCCATATCAAAAAACTTTCTCGCATCCATATGAAAAAACTTTCCCTCATTTATTCGTCGCATAAATGACGGACATGCAACCTGCGAGCAGTACTTGGACGTGAATATCAACAATCCAAATCATCAGAGAAGATCTGTTTCTTTACTGAGAACTAACACTGAGAAATCATCAGACAAGTCTCTACACGGAGAAACCTGAATTACAATACCTAACGGGTGGATCGGTTGCTCTGCTGAAAAACCTCTCCTGAAGATCTCTAGCTACTAAAGGAACTCAAAGGATCCTTCAAACGATTCAAATGATCCTAATCATGAGAAAAGCAAAGTACTAGTAGTAGATCTCATTCACCTGGTCAAGGAGCAAGATGAACAAGCTCCATGGATCTGCAGTTGCCACAACAAAGTTTTCAGAGAATTGCACGGCCCCTGGATGAAATATTTATGCCACGAAAGAGACTGAGGATCCAGGCAACCAGAGGACTTCATGGTAGGAGGATACCCTGATCTTGGAGGCTCACGTGAAGATTGAATCAAGATCGAGATCCTTGATCCGTTGAAAAAAGATCGCTAATAGGCTCTCCTACGGATCAACACTCACGTGAGGATCATCATTATGATGTTGGGCTTTGCAAAGTAAGAGAGACCGAGACACCAAGCGCGGAGACGGTGATACTTAAGCATCCACTGATGATGCGAATCTACTCGGCAATCTGCCTAAGATTTCCCTGACGAATTCGACCGGCTCAGCTAGCTTGTCTAAGCATCAACTAACCTAACAATAATTTAATCATAATGTCGTCGATAATAATATGCCTACATCAAAGAAATCATTCCCCTATCCGATGCTACAGCAGCAGGAGGTTTTTTACTGCAATAAAGAAGATGGAATTATAGAGGTGGACGAGGATAAAGTTGTGTAGTAGAGGTGTCTCAGGTGCTACACCTTTTTCGAAATCTCTAGTTTATGCGAGATGAATAATGCAATGTACTTAATATCCGGTGATTGTGTATTAAAGGATTTATTTCAACATTATTTACCACGAAGTAATCATGTATATTGACCTATTAAGCTTATCATGCTTTTAAGTGAACCACAGAGTTGAAACTAAGTTGCTAGTTAATAACAAAACTAGCATATTTTTTCTTGTTCTTAACCACCTCCTCATCTCCCAAGATTTTCAAAAAAAATGGCGCCCCCTGCCGCCGGAGGTAAGGGCAAGGGAAAAGGCGGCGGTGGGCCAAAACAGCGCTCTGTGATCGAGGTCGATCCGCGTGTTGGTCTCGATGGCCTTTCTGAGTCCGTGAATCGAGATTTCCGCGAATGCGCTGTCACTTTCCTGCCAGCTGAGCGCATTCGGGACATTGCCTGCGTCGAGATCACGCAACCCGACGTTTTCGACGACCTCGGTGAAGTCCTAAGAAATGGTCTCCACGACCCAAGAATGGGTTGTTTTAAGGACAAGAGGGACGAACCTTGTGGAACGTGTAAATTGACGCTGGATCAAGGATGTGTAGGACATTTCGGGCGTGTGAGACTCGTGGAACCGGTATTTATTAATACATCTGTCCACTTCTAAAATAAGTTTGTTGTAAATTTTAATATACTTGATGTTGATAGTAGCCTATTGTGACCAGTACCAAAAATCTTCAGGTGTTCAACCCTTTTATGTTTGGCCCATTAGTCAAATTGCTGAAGGAGAGTTGTCGATACTGCAACAAACTGCGCATGCATGAGTCGGAAAAGCAGAACATCCTCCAGAAGTTCAAACTTCTCGCTTACGGCCTCCTTCCGCCAGATCGAGTCTATGACAAAAAAGATGGTTCAGCCTTAGACCGAGAAGTCGATGCTGGCAACGGCCTCGACGACGATGTCACCGCAGCATGGAATTTGAGGGTACAGGATCACAGTCAATTAGCTCGTGCTATTCTTGGGGAGGAAGTGGTGTGCGAAGAAGTTAGTGCAAGCCTAGCTGCTGGAAGTAGTAGCAGTAGCAGCAGTTCGAAGAAGAAGGACGCAAAAAAGTCTAGTAGTTCCACTTCTATGGAGCTTTTCACGCACTCTTCGCGCCAAGAGGTCTGGGAGGCTAAGAGCAGTGAAGAACACCGCGATGCTGCGCGAAGACTGAAAGAGGAAATTGCCGTGACGGACAAGAAGGAGCACAAGCAGGCAGAAAAACTGGTAGAAACCTTGACAAGGGAGATCGGCCGCGTCCAAGGCACTGTCGAATTCAACCAGACCTTGCTGGAAGAGTACCGAAAGCTCTTCAAGTATTTCGAGCAGAACCAGCCTATGAAGAAGTGCGCCAACTGCGGACACCCAAGTGATATTTGGCGCAAAGACGGAGCTTCTCGGTTGTTCGTGAAAGCTAGAGGAGGTGGACACCACAATGCTTCTGCTGTCGCTATGGACGAAGAAGGCGGTGCTCAAGCAGCTGCTGGAGGCGCGAATGACATGATTGTTTTTCCACGAAAATGCCAACAGATCTTGCGTCAGCTGTGGGAAGGCGAAGATCACGAATTACTGAAGTTTTTGTACCCCGGCTCTAGGGAAAGAAGATTTGCAAGACCACACGACAACGACAAGGAGAACCGCGAGCTCGATGACGGACCTGGTTCTAGCGAAATGTTCTTCCTCCAAGAGCTTTTGGTAACGCCAAATCAGTTCCGAGCACCGCGAAAGAGCGAAACTAGCGCAGACAGCTTCCAGCTCGACCACGAGACTAAATGTCTTAAAGAAATTCTTGTTGCCTGTGAGGATTTGCGGAAGATTGGTCGCGATCTTAGCGGAAACAAACTTGAAGATGCTAAGAAAGATGAAAAACAGCAGCTTGCTCTAGAAAACGACCAAGACGCAGCAGCAGATAAACTTGCAAAAGCAGTAGACGTCCAAGTGATCGCTGGATCCGAGCTTATGCAAAAGAAGGAAGACTCCGTCATTGCGAAAGCGTTTATCAGCTTGCAAGAGAAAGTAAACGTGTACATGGACTCTTCGAAGGGAGCAACGAAGGCTGAGCAGGATACCAAAGGCATCAGGCAGAAAATCGAAAGGAAACAGGGTACAGGACGACTACAAGGATATCCTTATTTTTCACAGATTGAAAAGGATATAAACAGGACGACTACAAGGATATAAATACTAATATTTTATTTCACACCAGATTAGGATTATTATATCAAACTACATTTGTCTGAATCAGATGTGTAGAGAAGCTTACGTTCTTTTGCTTTTCGCTTTATGCTGGCTTTCAATTTCTCTAGAAGACTACTAGTTAAAGGACGATCAAAAGCAAGCTTTTTGACTTTTATCAAACAAACAACGGAACCAGGCCTCTTCCGTATGAAGATGATGGGAAAACGTGTGAACTTCGCTGGGCGATCCGTCATTTCTCCCGAGCCCAATGTCGAAACCAACGAAATCGGAGTCCCGCTCTTCATGTGCAAGGTTCTAGGTGTCCCAGAGCGTGTCTGGGAAGGCAACGTGGCCCATATGGAACAGCTCGTGATGAACGGAAACGACGTTTATCCCGGTGCAAGTCAATTGTTCGTGCCAGCAAGTGGATCTGGTACTACCTCTGGGTCGTCCACAGCGCCAGGTGCCCCTCGCTACGACGTGATCGACCTGAAATCCTGCAACGAGGAGATGCGAATCAACTATGCTTCGCAATTGAAACAACAATCGCATTCCGAACGGCCTTACATAGTGTATCGAAACCTAGTAGACGGCGATCCAGTGTTGATGAATCGGCAGCCGACCTTGCACAAGCCAGGCATCATGTGTCAAGTCGTGAAAGTATTGAAAAAGGAGAACACATTGCGGTTCCATTACGCGAATTGTAACACGTACAACGCTGATTTCGATGGTGACGAGATGAATATGCATGCGCCGCAGGTACTGCTTTTTCTTTTTGTGCACCATGACCATTTTTACTGTAGTCTTGATGATCGCTTGATAACCTTTTTGAGACGATGAGAATGATTTCATTTACGTTTATGTGTTATTCTTCGCAATTGAAATTTTATCATCTGTCAACATCCTTCTACAATCTCCTATCCTATCCCATCCTATCCTATCTACAGGTGAGCCAACTCCTATCCTATCCTATCTACAATCTCCAATACCAAAATCATACCGACCTCTCGATCTCAGGACGTCCAAGGCCGTCTAGAAGCCCTGAAGATCGCCGAAGCTGATCGGCAATACGTTGTTCCGACGTCTGGTAAGCCTTTACGTGGCATCATTCAGGATCACATCGCTGGCGCCGTCCTCATGATGGCTCGTGATACCTTTTTCGACAAACACGAGGTCGCCCAACTTCTCTACCGCGGTTTGCGTTCCCAGATGGAGCAACGCAAGAGCTCCCACTGGGTCAAGATGCCGGATTTGAACCTACTGGTCAAAGGCATGACCCAGGCTTACGAGAACCAAGCGTGCGAAGTTTTGGGAACGAAAAGCAAAGCCAGGGTAAAATGGCCGGTGGCGAAGAACGTGTATAAGAAATTGGTGTTTGATCCGCCGGCGATTATGCGGCCAGTGCCGAAGTGGACCGGAAAGCAAGTCTTCTCGATTTTATTGAAAAACCTGATCATCATCCACAACGGCAAGCAAAACGTCTTTCACACGAACAAACCGAAAACGCCGGGAGATATGTGGAATGGAGTTTTTGATGGTACGTGTGTTGAGGATTTTCTTGGAACCAGATAAGATATGATAATGAATCTTCTTTCGCCACAACGACGTAGTATGCAAATTATACGTTCTTTCTTCATTGCAAATTATACGTTCTTTCTTCATTCCTTTTTCTTAGTTATGTGCAGGATTCACAACCTAACCTAACCTTTCTTTTGAACATAGGCCAATGATAATGAACTCTCCCATTCCCAAACAACCAGGTAACAAAGAAGAAGGGCAGATCATCATCCGCAATTCCGAACTCCTTACTGGTGTTCTGGATAAGTCTGAGTTTGGTGCTTCAGCTGGCGGTCTCACCCACTTGTGCTACGAAATCTTCGGTCCCAAGATGGCGGGCGCTGTATTGTCCACCTATGCACGCGTCTTCACCGCTTACCTGCAGATGCGGGGATTCACCTGTGCCATGATCGACACGCTTGTGGAGAAACCAGCTGAAAGAAAGCGTCGTTCTATGATTGATGACACGATGGACAAGGGATTCGGCGTCATTGACCGCTTCATCGAGGACCACGAAGGCGTAGTGCCAGAAGAGAAAGTATTGCATGTGGAGTCGTTGGAGAATACTCTGGGTAGAAGCTTGTGGAAAGCTTTCAGCAAGTCGTTGGATGATGCAGAAGCACAAGCAAACGTCAATGGCAATGGAGGAGGAGACAACGATATGGATGTAGATGACGAAGCATCACCGGAGGAGGAAAACGATTCATCTGACGACGAGGACGAGGAAGAAGAAGACAGTGATGAAGACGAGGGAAGCCGATCGCGGAAAAAGAGAAAAGTTGGTAGTCCAACTAAGGCCTCTGCCAGCAAGCCTGCTTCGGAGACAACTGCCAGAAGAAAAAGTATTGCATGTGGAGTCGTTGGAGAATACACACCCAAACGCCGGGACAGTTCCGCTACTTCTAGTGCCGCATCATCTTCAAAGACCTCCGCTAAAAAGTCCAAGGAGGAGGAGCCAAGATCTTTTGCCTCGTATTTGGCCAAGGACGACTTCGTCTACGCAACCTTGCGTCACTTCGACAGCGTGCCTACGACAAGACAGCTACGCTTGAAGCAGATCCTGTCAGAGGATCCGGTTCTGGTAGACAAAATTGAGGGGCAGGTGATGGCGCTGACGAACCAAGACTGGGGTAAGACGATCGACACAGTTCTGCCAGCTGGTCAGCGTTTAAAGTTCCCGCACAACTGTTTCGCAACCATGGTCTACACTGGTGCCAAAGGTAGTAAGATCAACCACTCGCAGATCGGTTGCTTACTCGGACAGCAGTGTCTGGAGGGAAGACGAGTGCCATTATTGCCGACGATGCGAACACTACCGTCGTTTGCACCCTATGATTTGGCAGTGCGAGCAGGAGGCTATGTCAGCGACCGGTTTTTGACGGGACTGAGACCTCAAGAATTCTACTTCCATTGCATGGCGGGACGAGAGGGTTTGGTCGATACGACGGTTAAAACGGCGCGATCCGGGTAATTATATTTTCCCATAAAGTGTCACTGTTGTTGTTGTAATCTCTTTCAGAATTGAAGATTGATGTTCAGAGTACTAGTTCGTGTTGACCTTATCTCAATCTTAGTATCATGCATCTTATTCTGTTCGTCTCTCACATTCATTAACTTCTTTCAACTACCCACTCATTCCCCCAGGTATCTCCAGCGCTGTCTGGTGAAGCATCTTGAAACTTGCGTCGTCGCTTACGATGGCACCGTTCGTGACGTGTCCGATGGGTCTATTGTGCAATTTCTCTATGGTGAAGATGGCGTCGACGTTACCAAGAGCGCCTTCCTCGAGAAATTCAAGCAGCTGCGTGAAAACTTGTGCAGCGACTTGGGCCGTGAGCGCACCCAGAGGCGTATGGCTCGCTTACGTCGCGGTGGCGTAGTCGATACTACTCTGGCGAGAGAGCACATGGATATTCGAGACATGGTCAAGGACATGAAACCAAAAACTTATCGCGACGTATCCGATCCGAACGTGAAAAACCGATGTGTAGTAGGCTATGACGTCAAGGAGGCTGTTGGAAGGTTAGAAACACTTCGTACTACCCACGAAAAACCGAGGTTCGGAGAAGAAGATCCTGCGAAGAGAGTTGCGGAGCTTCTAGCGGAGGCTCAACAAGCAGACGACGCCACGAGTGGGGACGATAAGAAAGAGCGAAAGAAGAAGAAAAAGAAGCAAGCTGCAGCTGAAGCAGCGGCTGCCGAGGCATCCTGCACATCACTTGGAAGGGCCATTAGTGATATGAGCAAAACCCGTCATTGGCATCCACTCGCACGATTTCCGCCTGCTTTGTCCGTCTACTCCCCGAAGCAGCATCTTGGTGCGGTGTCTGAGCGATATCACGATTTGCTGAACGAGTACGTTTCCTCCACTACTTGGACCAGCGAGAGCGAAAAGCAAGACTTCATCGACGCTTGCCACTTGAAGTACCAGAGCTCCTTGGTGGATGAGGGTGAGGCAGTTGGTGTTTTGGCAGCACAAGGTATGGGAGAACCATCGACGCAGATGACTTTGAACACTTTCCACTTGGCAGGACACGGTGGCGCGAATGTGACCTTGGGTATCCCGCGATTAAGAGAAATCGTGCAAACGGCTAGTAGGAACATCATGACGCCGTTGGCGAAACTAACTGTTCTAGCGGATGAGCACGGCAGCGACGCCTTGGACGACAAGATGTATTATGCGCAGAAACTCGCTCTTCGCTACGGCCGTACGCAGTTGCACGAACTCGTGAAAGAATACCGAGTGACGGAGCGCGGACGTCAGATTGGAGGCCACTTTGTACGAACTTACGTGGTCGAGTTGGAGTTTGTGGACCTAGCAGAAGTCCAGAAGAAGTTCCCGCACTTGGACAGCATGACCAAATTGTCAGTGTTGATGGGTCGTGGCTACGGCGGCTTCCAGCAGAAGTTCTTCGGAGAAATCCAAAGGTATGTGAAAGCGTCGGAAAAGAACAGACGAAGAAGTACGGCGACGTCGAAGATGAAAGCTGTGAATGACGAAAAACTGCGGGCTCCGATGAGCAGCGGCGGTGGCGACGACGACGACGACGACGAGGGTGGTCGCGCCGAATCGAGTGGTCGTGGAAATAAAAAGTCGAAAAAGGACGATTTTCTAGCCACAGGTAGTGGAGTCGAAGAGAATGACGGCTTCTTCAAAGCTGCTTCTTCTGCCTCTGCTAGCACCAAGAAAAAGGCAACTGCTAGCAAGAAAACGGCGGCTAAGAAGAATAACGACAGTGAAAGCGACGATGAGTCCGAAGGGGAGGAGGAAAGCAGCGATTCTGACTCCGACGAGAAGGAAGCCGACGAAACTGCAAATAAGGATGATGATGCAGCATCGGAGAAGTCTAAATCGAAGACCAGGGATCCAAACAAGAGCGACTCTGACGATTCGGACTCATCTTCTGATGACGAGGACAACGACGACCCCATGCGACAGGCACGCAAGCAGTTGCGAAAACAGGCTTCTGCGGAAGCAATTTCAGAGGAAGAAGCAAAGAAAAACTTGGAGAAGAAAGCAAAACAACTGTCCTCCACCTCCTCTTCCAACGCCGCGCTCGACGACGCTCTCGCAAACAAGAACCTGTCGAAAAAAGAGCTCAAGAAGCTTAAAAAACAAGCTGAGAAGGAACAATTAGCACAGAAAGAGGCACTAGTCAACGCCTCCTGTGTGGAGAGATTCCTAAACGACGTAGAGCAAGACATGCAATGTCTAGAGTACTTGAACGGACCGAGTCAGGGTACCGCAGAATGGTTTGTGGAAAATGGAAAAAATACGTGGGCATGCCGCTTCGACGTACCAACGCAGTGCTGCCCATGCAAGATCTTGCTCTCCGAAATCATCAAGAAGCTTCTGCAGGTACAACTTTAATTTCTTATTTGATGATGTACTTATCATGTTGATGCTCATCTTACTCAGCTTGTTCGTATCTGCTCAGTTTTTATGTGGTATCAGAACTTGGAGTTCACTGTCTTTCATCTCGTGTCATCCATGTGTCCTTTTTGGAGAGAAAACAGGTTTCGTATTTTCCCAAATCTTACTTTCTCACTCCTCAACCGGAACACAGGAAATGTATGCCCAAGACGACCGTGCCAAGGGCATCGTCAAAGTGAATGTCCTAGAGGATAAAGGTGCAGTCATCGTCGAAACCGAGGGTGTCAACCTCAAGGCGATGTACAATCTTCCTGGTGAGCTGGCTCTCGGCTCTCTCGACTATAATTCCCTGGACACAAACGACATTGCCACCATTCTAGACCTCTATGGTGTGGAAGCGGCAAGAAACGCAGTGGTGAAAGAAATCAGAAACGTGTTTGGGCATTACGGTATCGCAGTCGATTTGAGGCACTTGTACTTGATTGCCGACTACATGACGCAACAAGGCGGTTACAGACCGTTTAACCGAAAGGGTATGAGCGACATTAGTTCGCCGTTCCTGCAGATGACGTACGAAACTAGTCTGGGGTTTGCCGCACAAGCAGCTTCTGAGGGCATGACGGACAGCCTCAAATCCGCTAGTGCTGCAATCATTGCCGGAAAAGTGCCCAGTGTCGGGACAGGCGCATTCGACTTGTTGCAGGACTTCACTAGGCCACAGGCACGCGCAGCAGATGAGCACCACACGCGATTGCCGAATCTTGAAAGCAAGAAGTTCTTCTGCGAGTCGGATTCAGAAGATGAAGATCGTACTACTTCTGGTTTGACGACGTTGCATCCAGGCACGACCACTATACGGGATGTTCACGCGAACTCAGATGAAGAGATGGAGTGCGGAAATGCGGCTCGTGCACAAGACGACAGCGACAGTGAGGGAGATATCTATGGAATGGGAAGGTGAAGATCGAGATGAAGACATTCTTCACATTGACCCCTCCGAACTCCTTCACGCGAGGACCCTTTCCAACTATTCACCTCTTTTCATCTAAGCACATCATGACGACCCCTAAATCATTCATTCTGGAGATAAATGATTTTTGCACACAAAGAATATCGCCTATGAACAAGAACAACATCCAAGGAAGAACTTCTACAAATAAAAGCAAACCTATTTTTTCACATTCACACTAAACGCAATGGGAACTGTGTGCAGGTAGAAACTAGTACCTGTCACATTTCGTTCCATCTCAATAAAGATTTTCTCATTTTTGAGAAGAATCTTCATCATCATTGAATCTTATATGTTTTGATAACGCCTAAATGAAAACGTGCATGATCTACTTCGGAAATTATGATGGCCTTAGAGCCGGAAGCCACTGCTGTCTGAGCAGAAGATAAAAGCTGTCTTTTTTTGTCGACGCAAGGCTGTTCTCGTTGATGGGTCGTGAGCAAATCCGCCTAGTAGTCGTTCTCCGTACTTCAATTCAAACGTAATCTTGTTGATCTGTCAAAGAATCGGATGAAAGCTGCAGGAGATAATGTTGATGGTGTGTGCGTCTGAGTGAGTGATGGTGATCATCTTGCTGTTCTTCCATCTACATGATCTCATGCGCCCGAAATGACCGGTTTGATTTGGCTCTAGAAAAATACTGCTCGCCTTGATCATCTCGAAGATAGGTGTGCAACTACCTGGATTTCAATAGCTGTAGATGTCAGTGTGTTTCACTTTAAATGGAGTGATAATCCCAGTTATTTCTTGATGTGTTAGTAAATGCTTAGAGTGAATAGTGTACAGCTTATATGAACATATTTTCGTTCGGACTCAGGGGATGGACGAGGAGAGATGAAAGTGTCCGAGAAATAGTCCTCGTGTAAGTGTGTACTTACTAGACGAGAAGAGTTTTGCTGCGCCGTTATTTTGGACACCTACCAGAGCTAATGTAATCATCATCTGTCTAACGTCCTCTTTGGATTTGTAACTTAAAGTTTGTACTACCTAAGACAAACATAATCATGGATCCTCAGATGCAACAGATGCTGCAAATGCAGCAGCTGTTTCTCCAACAGCAAATGGCGCAGCAAGGTGGCCCTTCTATGGTCGGAAACCCGATGATGCAGCCTGGGCAAATGGGAATGAATATGATGACTCCCTCTAACGCTATGGGAGTAGGCGCTGCCCAGCAACAAAGTGGAATGATGATGCCGAACAACATGGCGTCTATGATGGGGAACATGGGGGTAGGGAATACGATATCTTCCATCGTTGGAGGTGCTAATAGGAATACGACGACGAGTGGTTGTAGTGGTGCTGCGAAGAGTTCAAATTCCACAGCAGCATTTTTCAATCAAATGAATGCCATACAAGAGCAACAGCAGACGTCTATTCCTGCTATGACTATGGGCTCTTCCATAGGTGGGTCTTCTATGGGTACTATGGGTGGCGGTTCCTATTCCTATGGCAATAGCACTAGCAGCGCTGTTCCTCCGCCGCCACCAGACAACTCGAGAACGGGCTCGTCCGCGTTCACAGGACTACAGCCTGGGTCTGCTTCTTTCACCGGAAATGCTTCGGCCATGGTGATTAATCCTATGCTGGCTCATGCGAGTAGCTACTTGCCTTCAAACTATGCACCTGGATCTGGCAATATGCCTGGAATGGCAATGGGCATGAGTGGAACAAGCATGAGCAATATGAGCGACGGCTCCTCTGGTGCTAAAGACAAAGGCTCGAAAAGCAAGAGTAAGGGCAGGTCGAAGCAGGCTGCGAAAATGCGCGCGATCGCTTCTCAAGCCATACTGCTAAGACATCAGGGACCGGCAGCTGAAGAGTAATTCTTGTTCTTTCATTTTATTCTTTGTGACAGACAACTCCATGTATTTGGAAGTAATACGGAAGTAATCTCCAAGTCCAATTCTAAAAATCGTCCTTCTCGATAATTTTTGAATCTCATTTTCTCATAATTCCGAATGGATGATATTCTTCACTGATTCGTTTTCATTACAACGAACTTATAGGAAAGAAGCTGCAGAATTAAAGCAGTATGAGCAGGAATATCTACGGTCCATAGGAGTCGATGTTGACGGGAGAACTGAGAAGAGCAACGACTCAAATGAGCACAGTCGGAGACTTAGTCGCGGAGCTACTCACGATGATGTCGACGACGATGCCAGTCGCGGACGGAGAAAAAACGGTGCTAATGATGTTGATACACCAAAGGGCGACGGGGACAATAAATTTGAACTCCCTGAATGTCGCAATACTAGGAACAGTACCCGAAGAGAGAGGCTGCCTATAGATGAGTGGGCAGCTCGAATTGTCAAGGAAGTTCGGCAAAAAGACACGGTGTTGATTCAGGGTGAGACGGGGAGTGGGAAAAGCACGCGCGTTCCGCAATACGTCTACCACTTCTGCAGAGAAGGTCAGCACAGAGGTCGTCATGCTAGAGAAGATCGTAGAAAGATCGTGATCACGCAGCCCCGGCGTTTAGCTTGCATTACTTTGGCAAAGCGAGTAGCGGAAGAGATGGGCTGTGCAGCTTCTGATGATGGTGAGCCTTCTGCTAATGGAGATTTGGTCGGTTACCGGATATCCGGAGAAGGTCGCTTTTCGCCGAACACCAGGCTGCTCTTTGTGACGACTGGTTTTTTACTGCAGTTACTGGTGAATGAGCCGATGAAAGTGCGCGCCTTCTCGCATATTATCCTGGATGAGATCCACGAACGGTCAGTCGACGCAGACCTTCTGACGCTGATTTTGAAGTTGCAGAGACAGCACAAAATGGCGGATTTCAAGCTGATTTTGATGTCCGCGACAATGCAAGGAGGGCTTTTTGGAAACTACTTTTCAAATTATGACCAACCCAATATGAAAGCACTCGCTTCTAGTAGCTCAGCAAGTAGTCTGGCGAGTCATGGCAAAGGCCTTTATGGAGGAGGGAAGAAAGGCAAAATGAAAGGCGCTTTTGCAGCTGCACAGCACTACAATCATCAGCAACAGGCGCTACAACAGCAACAGCAGCAGGCACTGCAGAATAGCGAAAGCTCAATACAGCCGATTTTTGTGGGTGTAAAGCGGTTCAACGTGGACATTTTGTACTTGGACGATTTGTATTCGATGAACACCAAGATCTCCGATGCCGGTTACTCTGTGCAAGGGGCTGATGTTCTTAGGAGTAAGACAGGCAACGTCCTATCGTCTCAGTCGACGGAGGTTGTGGGGAATGCGATTGATAGGTACAACAAACTCATTAGCCGTGTGTTCCGATATGAAAATTGAGAAACTTTGTGACTTTGACTAAGTATCATGGAAAATAAACTCTCGATCATGGAAACAAAGAAACATTCTGCATTATTCACTATTGTTCATCGTCGAAGCACGGCTTCTTCACACTGAAAAATGGAAAGTCAAATCACAACTCCAGGTTCCAAAAAGCCCTCGAGTCCGCAGCTCGAAAAACCGGTCAAGCCGCGGTCATGAACTACGTTGCTGAGAAACAGGAAACTGCGGATGAAGAATTCGAGAGAATGCGAGGTGCAGGTGCCGGCGTCAACAGCGGTGCAGGTCTATTGGCTTCCACGGCAAGTATGCCTCCTAGGATACCCGACGGCTTCAATGGGTTGATAAAAGACTTGATCCTGTGTTTGGGCGTCGCAGGAGAGTCAGTGATTATCTTCTTGCCTGGTATTGGGGAGATAACGGATTTGTACGATGCTTTGTCCCGGGATTTGCCAACGGCATCGGAAGATGACGACGATGGTCACCATAGCAGTTACTCCAGCACAACTTCTACGAGGTACAAGATCTTCGCCCTTCATAGTTCCATCCCAATGGAGGAACAACAGGATGCTTTTAAGGATCCGCCTAGGGACATTGTTCATGTTTACCTCGCATCTACCATCGCCGAATCGTCATTGACTTTGCCAAAAGTGCGTGTAGTTCTGGATCTAGGCCTCAAACGTGTTCTCGGTTACGATCGACAGCGGGAGTCGGCTTCTCTATTGACTTCGTGGATCTCCCATGCCTCAGCCGCGCAACGCTCCGGTCGTTGTGGCCGTGTTTTCGCGGGAGTCGCGATCCGATTAGTACCACGTACGTTTTACCAACAAGGAATGCCGCCTTTCGACCGTGCAGAAATCGAATCCGCACCATTGGAGAAATTATACCTACAGGTGAAGCAATTATCCACTCGAGTCAGGGAGAAGATGCCGAGAATAGGAGCGTTGCCGCCAAGAGGGTTGCTGCATTTGACGGTGCAGCCACCGCCGACTGACAGATTAGAGTCAGCGGTTCAAAATCTCGCGGATGCCGGTGCTCTGACTGGCACGTCTGATTACGCAGATATCACGCTATTAGGACAGTTAGCGATTCAATTACCCTTAGACTTGCGTCAAGTTCGCTTGATTTTTTTCGGAGCTTGTTTCGGCTGTTTAGCCGATTGCGTAGTGATGGCATGCGCGATGGCGGCAAACGATCCGTTTACACTCCCAAGTTCGTTTATCATCCGAGATCGAGATCAGTTTCATGCGGCTTTGGTGCGGTCATGGGAAACGAGACAGAAATTCGATAAGGGACAAAACAGTGAACCTCTGATGTTGCGTAACCTGTTCTTAGCATGGCTCAAAGGATTACCGGATACTAGTAGTGGTAGTAGTGCGGAGATGAACAGCACTAATACAAGCTTTGGTATTAATAGCGGTGCTGGTGGTTTTCGAAAGGGTGGCGGACCCACGTCCACTTCGAACAGACGTGGTGGCGCATCCTCTGCGCATCAGCGATATGCGTTTATCCAGCATTCGGCTGTTTTTGCTCGCACGCATTCAGTCGTGCCTAAAAGATTAACCCTGTTGGCTATTCAAGTCATTGACACTGCGGAGAGAGTTTTACATTTCGTGGAGGCTGGGCCAATGTTGCAACTGTGCCGGCTGTTGCGCAAACTGGGTCGGGAACCACGTGGATTTCAAGCTCAGGGAGGGTCGTCAGAGTTGGCTCCTGCTGGTGAGGGAGCTGGTAGTCAAGGAGGACTTCCTTCAACGTCCAAGTCCACTTCTAAAGATGTACTGGAAGACATCTTCGTCCGAGATACTTTCATTCTGCGCGCAGCTTTGGTCGCCAGCTGTTCTCCCCAAATCGTGCATGGTGGTTTGCAGATGAACCCTCTCCATCTACAGGCAATGTTAGGCATGCACCAACTGAAGAACCCATTCCGCCACTGCTGCATGCTACCGAATCTAGCACCCGAACTGAGGGCTGCTCCGAGGCAACTTCAGCGGTCTCTGTCGACGGCCTTCGGGAGTGAGTGTCAGCAGATTGCAGTCTTCGAGGAGACACCTGACGTCCTGGCGGTCATGTACAACAAAAGGGTCAAGAATTCTAATGGCGCTTCAACATCGAGGGACGATGGCTTTGTCGATGAGGATAGCTCAAGTGAAGAAAGTGACAATGCTGAAGAAGCGGCTGTAGAAGACGAGAAAAATGCAACTGATGGTGATGAGGGAGTAGCGGAACCTGGCGCTAAAACCTCTGAACAACCAGGTGGAGGCCATGGAGGTGAAAAAGGTGGCGAACAAGACGCAGATAACAAGCCTGTGAGACAACGTGAGGAAAGCAGCGACTCCGAACGGGATGGACGACGCAAAAGGACAGCTCGTCGTCGCCATGATAGTAGAGATAGGAAAGGCAAAGCTGCTGACAATCTGCCCAAGCTGCGTGCTGTTCGAAGTGGGAGACATAGTAGTCGGAACAGAAGTACTCGTGGAAAGAATAGTCGCAGTCGAGGTGGTAAAAAGCGGAGACGGAGCGAAAGCCGAAGCAGGCGTGATAGAAGGGGGGAAAGAACGACTCGTCCACCTTCCCGACGTCGGGAGAGTAGAGTTCGTGACCGAAAGGCGTCTTCTTCCAAGGACAAAAGTAGCGCTCAGGAAAGTGGACCAGAATCGAATAAAGGCGTCCCCCCTCCTCCTCCGATGGAGGACAATGATGCTGTTATTGAGAATGACGCTAAGCGCAGAAAAATCGATGAAGAAGCGACTCCTGGACCCGGCCTCGGCGACGAAGCGCCTAAAACAGGAGGTGGTGGCCTAGATGACGTTTTTGCGTCCTTTATGGAGGAAGTGGAGAAGGACGAGGCTGAGAAAGAGAAAGAACAGGAGAATCAAGAAGATGCAGACGGCAATAGTAGGAAACTGCCTGAAAACATTTCAAGTGGAGCAGCACAAGGAGGAAATGCGGCATCTGCGCAACCTGTTGCGGAAGGCGGTGATATTGAAGACGTCTTCGCGGGTTTCCTGTCTGAGATCGCAGACGTTGAAGTCGAGGAAACACCTGTTGTAGCAGTGCCAGCGCCTCAGAAAAAAGTCGGCATTGATTGGAGTTCTTACATCGGAAAAGTAAATGGAGAAGACTCTGGTGAGGCTAATGCTTCTGGCAGTGACGCTCCTGGAGTAGTGAAGCGAGACGCACAGTTGGCTACAGTGCTGGAGACGATCAAGAATGATACTTGTGTTGGTGTGAAAAATAAGCAGAATATCAACGTTTTGGGCTCAAACAAGGATGTGAAACCCCTCGATATTGCTGTAGCAACTGATGGAGTCGAAGTCTTGGTAGCCTCTGACTCCGAAGAAGGTGATGCTGCTGGGGGAGGAACTTTGCATAAAAGGAGCTCCAAGACGACGAAACAAAAAACATCAAAAAGCACTGCTTCTTCTACCAAGAAAAAAACCTCCGATGTGCCGAAGCTAGAGGTTGTTTTCGCCGCTCCGGCAGATCCTTCAAAGCGTCTGATTCGCGCTCGAGCTGAGCTGGAGAAAAAACGTAACACCCATCACGAAAAGACCAATGTTGTTATGGTGAATGGCGAGGAAGTGGAAATTATTGATGCCGATTCTGCGAGAACTACTGATGGTGGTGAACACGGTGCTTTTGGCCTATCTAAGGACGGGCTAGAAAATAACGGTAATCAAGGTCATGATGAAGAAATTGTGATCAACAGCGACCCAGTGTTTGATTTTCGTGTCGGGATAACCGGTAAAAGGAAGAAAAACAAGACTAACACGGAGCAACAAGCTGGTATATTGGACACGACATGCGACCAACATAGGTGGGAGTTCCGAGTGACCTATGAGAACGAAAATGACACCGAGATGAAATACTCTAGAACTACGCAGCAAGTCCAGCCTTTAGGCAAAGCGTTTTCGATCGCTCGTATCGGTGTTGTCGAGGCCCGTCGACGTGCCATGCTAGAGCTTGAGTATTGGACGCAGAAACTTCAGTTACTTCACACTTGTGGCCTGCCCTTAACTCGACACAACGTTGGACAAATGCTGGCAACCCAAGCGACGAATATCTCCTACGCTCAAGCTAAGCTGCAACTAGTCCGTTCTTTGAAATTCGCAACCGCAAATCTGCTGGCGCAGGCTGCTGGAGGTCGCTCGTACTGCTTATGGCCGTTGCCTGGGTTTGGCAGGGAAGCGAACGCGAGTAGTCAGTTGGGAAGCGGAGCATCAGCTGTTAGTAAAGCAAGAGGACTAGCACCAAGCGGAAACAAGTATGGAGACAAGTACGGAGGAGGGGGAGGTAAATATGGAGGTAAAAAAGGAGGCGGCAAAAACAAGGGTGGTGGCTTTGGTGGTGGTTTCGGAGGAGCCTCTCAAGGTGATACATGCGAATTGCGAGTGCCACAGCACCCGTTTCAATTGCATTGGACTCTGACGGCAAGATCGGGTGGGAACCCGTCTAATGCAGCGTCGAACAACGCAGTCATGGGTAATCCATTCGACAGCTCTAGTTCATCGCAAGGTATAGTCCAAGCAGCTGGTTGGCGCAATCCTGTGGGTTTTGTCGTCAATGCACCGTCATCGCGCACAGTCAAGCAAATGCGGGAAGGGAGTTTGATGGGGGCGTCACCGCACTTGCAGCAGCAATTACTCGCAAAATATGAGCGAGTAGGAGTTTATTCTGCGGTGTACAGAACAGAGGGAAAGACTTCTCTCGAGGGACTCACGGTGCTGCCTGCGGGTTCGACGCTATTGCTTTTGGCGTTCTTACGCCCACAGCAGATGGTACTGAAAAGCCAAACGTCGTCAGGGACGGGTGTGATGAACACAACTGGAGCTTCTTCTTCCGAGATCAACAATGCTCTTGCAACGTCTACCTCCTCGTCAGATAACAACTCCGACGGCGCTGTCCGCGTATTAATCGATCTTGATCAGCGGAAGATGCTCTACATCCACTTACCTATGGCAAACGGTGGTCGCAATCATTTTGTCAATCTACCGCTGTCGCGACTCGAAAAAGTAAATGCGCTGAGACGTGCACTGAGCCGCGTGTTTCTGCAGAAACGCATTAGCGATCAAACTGACGTGCTGCGGTCTCTTGGTACACTTTTTGACGACGACAATAGCAATAGTACCGACTTGGATCTTCCAACCACAGCCACAGGAGCCACAGGCACAGGAGCGTCTGTTGCAGATCCTTCGTCCGTCTCTGGTGCTTCTAGAGGTGACCTAAACGAGGAGGAAGAAGAGCAATTTTTCATGGGGCAAGTGTGGGTGGAATTGACAGAAGATGTCAGCGGCAGAAGTCATGATGAAGAGAAGGCAAGAAGCAGTACTAAAAACGAGAGCGCTACCTCTACTTCCAAGAAAAGCAGAGGGACTACCACATCCAATCAAAATTCGAATGCTAAAAGTGGCAGTAGTAGCAGCAATAGTGGTGCTGGCCAAGGAGGATCATCTTTAAAAGCAGGGAACAAGAAGATTGATTCTGGCGGTCACGCTAGTGGCTCGTTTTTCAGTTTTTCTTCATCGTCGTTTGTGTCTTGGTCGGATGCAGTGCCTGCATCAAGCGGTGATGCTGCAGCTGAACCCGGGGATAAAGACGGCGAACAACAGGCGGGTGAGATAGAAGAACTCGGACATAAACTACAGAATTCTGTTGACAACAACATAGATGGCACTACAACTTGCAAGAAATCTCTCACGAACCCTGTACTTGGGTCCGACGACGACGCATCCTCTCCCGACGTGCTCTTTCCGCGTTTAAGCCTTTTGGAGCGCGTAGAGCAGATTATAGAGGAAAAGTCACGTTACAAACGCGAGTGCGAAGCCGCAGATGTTAAAGTCCGATCTCTAGCAAGAAAATTCCATGCTAGAGAATCCGGACCCTTGGCACGCTTAGACGACCAAGTAGCTCTCCTAGCGGAACTGCATCGCTCGACGAGAGCCAGATTTGAGTTCTTTCGGACTAGGAATCAATCCTTTGGAGGGAAGATGGAAGACCAATCTTTAGCCAAGGACATCACGGAAATCCCCGCTAAGGCTCGGGAACTCGAACAACGTGGCGTCGACTACTACAACGAAGCAACCCAATTGCGTGATGAACTCTTTGCCCTGTCGGAAAGACACGTTTCGTCGTCGTCGGCTGCGGGGACAACATCCACTTCTGGGACGGGGGCTAACGAAGTAGACTCGCAACTAGCTGGCGATTGTATGAACGCCGCCGCTTCTTCTGCAATATCAGCAACAAGCGGCAACGGAACAACAGGTGAAGTACCAACTTCAAACTTCCCAGGTCGCACACAGTTGCTGAAGAAAATGCGTCTTTGTCGCAAGGAGATAACGGAAGCACTGCGTTCGCGTGGTGCGATTGCGATAGAGAGGCTAGCAGCCTTGGTCCGCCAGTCGGATGAAATGGTGAATGAGTACTGGGCTTTAACCATGGGGGTTATCGTTTAGCCACTTCATCTATGCGATTGCGAGATGTCGTTTGATGAAAACACCTGAAGATGAAAGCTTTTTGTTCCATTTGACTGTCAAGAACCTGTCATTTTCATTTTCCCTCTCAATGAATTGCACCTCTCTGTGCTCTCTCTTGATAAGAACCCGTGGAGAATTTCTCCTAGAACCCAAAAATGATACCATTCCAAGTTGTGTAGTCAGTTGTCATCGCATTTCCTTCGGTTTTATGAAGGCTAGCTTGTAAAGCCGAGTGTGTCACAGGCGATTCGTGCGTTGCGCGCATTTTAGTCTACTAAGGCAGCAGCCATGTGTTCCTCTCTGCGACGGCATGTTGAGACAGCAGGTTGAGACAGCAGCCTCTTGCATAGCGAAAGCGTCGTAGGAGAAATGGATTTTTCTAGTAGTCACTAGACTCGAAAGTTCAGTGTAAGTTGTAGCTCTGTGGCAGGCCTCCATTGTCTATTGGACGTATCACAAAAGAAAACGGCTGCAAAGTACTGAGTGAACGTTAAGAAATGAAAAACTATGAATGCAGATGAACAAGCCCTAAGATGATCCATTGATTCAAGCGCAACAAAAACAAATGCCCGCTTGTTCGTCGCGCACCGATTGACCTTCACGCTGCTATTACTTCACGCGCGCAAACCCATGACTGTTTATGACGGTCTAGCGCATCTCGGCTTGTGAGACTTTTCACAACGTCTTCGCGCTGTCCCCGACGTACGTTGGTGGAAAACTAAAGCATGAATTTTCGTCCTTCTTCGTCCGACGGAGGAGAAAGCCGGGTGTCGTGTCGCTTTCTTCGATGATGAAAAGGGAATCGCGGCTGCAGGCGACGGAGGCCATCTGGTCAGTTCTCGATGGTGGACAGGACTTTCAGTCGGCGAATGGATGAGCATGTCCTGTAGGTGGAGTTCGGAGAAGGCTAAGAAGACAGGCGACACCAGCGGAAAGAATCGGAACAGACGACTGTCGTGTTCTTGAGACATATCTATTAAGGCTGTACCTAATACATCTTTGGACGCATCCTGGAGACGTATGGAGGAGTATCCTAAGGGAATACTCCCCCATACTTTTCAAGGATGCACTTGAAAGATGAATTACGGACAGCTCTAAATCTACACGGTTTCTGAACTTCGGCCACTGGTACTAAAAGATGGTGGTAGTTGAGGAAATAGATGAAGAAGAAGAAGAGGAGGAGGATGTCTACCCTATGCGCGCGGGTCAGAACGTTATGCGAGCGGGCGGCGAGGTCTTTACCGTGAATTAGTTTACTGCACTCGACATGATATTACTGTGGTCCTCACGTTGAACAGGGATTATGATGCAAGAACTCTAATTTTAGACTGTATGTTGAGTTGTTAAATCTCCCATTCGTTAGTGGATATGGTTGTGGTTAACATCAAGTCAGCTAAGGTATGGCTATAGCATCAAGTTTCAAATCTCAGGCGTCCGAGGAGGATATGTGTCCCGAGGAGGGTTACGCACAAAGACTCGCAGCCTTATTGTCGGAGCCGGGTGCGTTTGCCTCAAGGCGCGGGCTGTTGTGGAGAGCAAGCGGTGGAAGCATGTTGGACTCTCCTTTGAAGAGCAAGGTGCCGAACAGACCCCTGCATCTACTAGGTGAGACATCTTCACATAGTACAGGAGGAGGAGCCACTGCTTCTACGTCTTTATGGAATGCGACAACAGCTGCAATAAAGTTGTTACAACATCAACGACCAGGAGAAGGTGGCCTAGGCCCCCTCAACGACCAGGATGAGGTGAGACCGTCTTTCCTCTGTCTTTCCTCTGGAGTTAACAAGGTTGCGACGCCTCCTTCGAGTGCCTTCGCGTCGCCCGACTGTGATCAGCCAGACTTGGATCCAGATGAGCCGATGGAGTCGCCTGAGTCTTCTCCTCCGACTAAAAGTGTAGAAAAGACGAATGTGAATGCTAATGGTAAAAGTAGTGCAGTCTCAACAGCAGGCGCACCACCGCCTACTCGAAGATCTAGGACAAAGGGTAATGCGCCCAGTTGTTTCAATCTGGTACCCCCGACTAGTGGGCCGTCGAGTCATGGCAAAGATGCAGCTCTCTTCACAACGCCAGCTCTCTTCACAACGCCACCATCGCAGAAAGGTGGTGGTCTCACTAGATCAAGTTACAGTGCTCTTAGTGCTGTCGCACGCTGTCAACGGGGTCATGGAGGAAACCTTAATCTACTCAGTGGAGGTGGAGGGTCATCCTCTTCTACTGCTTTCAGTTCTGCACACGGGAAGATCAACTACAAGAGTACCACCAGTAGTTAAGGTCAACATTTAGTGTCCATCTTTCTCGGCATCTTGGTACCCTTTTCCCTTGTATTATTTCTATGAAATGATACAAGGGTAGTAAAGGGGTCAAGATGAGGGGGCCGAGATGCAAGCTAGCAGACTCTAAAGTAGGACAACTACTTCATCCACAACGAAGTCGCTGTCAACTGCGACGCTGAGTGCCAACAACAACCGATGTAGTTATAGAGGACTCCGCGCAGGACTCAGTCGGGGTGCAGCGAACTTGCGTGCTGGTGCGGAGCGCCTGGAGCAGCTACGTGCAGGTCGTGAAGCCGATGCGCTCGCGAATGGAATGGAAAATACCAGTTGCAGTACTGCGAATGGAATAGATCCTGGTGGAGTCAAAGCTTTGAATGGAGACCACGCTTTACTAGAAGAGGACTTCCTTCTAGTAGGGGAAGGTCGTAAACCAGGAATGCTGCATGCTCTCTTGCAAAAACGGAAGAGAGAACTCGAAGATGAACGTGCTCGCATGCTTCGCACTCGACGTCAGGGCACGAGGGGTCGAGCGGGTTCGATGCAAGAAGATCTTTCAGGTGGGGTTTCTCCTAGTAAATCGGAAGCTGCAGTAGAAGCGGAGGAAGAACAGTCACGGGTTCAACAAATAGACGAGTCGAATTCCACTACAGTAGACGGCCAAGGACACGGGGAACAAGTAGTGGAAGAAGACACACTCGGTTGTAGCGAGAAAGGCTGTGCCAGCGATGACGAAGGTAGTGTTGACGCACAACGAATAATACATGGAGGTACAACTACAGAGACTACTATTGCAACATCATCACACAATGAAGCTCTGCTGAATCAAGACACAGAGCTCAAGGCGTTAAGAGGTGAAGCGAGTCGGGGCGCAGAGGACGCCTGTACGGATAGAGACTTTCACGAAGCGAGTACTTTATCCTCGGATGAATGCCTCAGAGAAGAAGTGGATGATCGAGATGAAACTCCGGTAGAAGATCTTGAAAAGCGACGTAGTGTCGGCCCTGCAGACAACAATTCTCCTTGTTCTGACGATGATGAGAGGCGAAGAACCGACCACGACAGAGAAGACGACTCAGCAAAGGCAATCAGCGTGCCACCGCAAAGTCCTATTCCGGATTCTTCGAGTGCAGCTCCACTCATTCTCCCAGAAACTGCTCCTCTAGTACCCCTAGCTGAAGGGGATTTGCCTGTTGTTGAAAGAAGGGATTCGGGACTTCTTGGCGATATGCATATTCCAGAAGGTGCATCCTGCTCCTCCTCTCTTGCAGACGGCTCAACATCCTACCCTCCAGCACCACCAACAGAAGTAGTGCATAATCCTTTTTCCGACGAGGATACTGGTAGTGATGTAATTTTGTCGTCACCCAGGTCCGTCGGCTCCTCTTCCATACAAGAGATCGATGATAGCACCGGATGTCGCAAGAGCTGTGTTAGTTCTCCGATGAGCGAGGACTTGTTGCTATCAACTAGAAACTTTGGCAAAGCAGAGCTGCAGTTGCTGAGAAGCTGTAACGATGCTGCACAATTTGACAATATTACTGTTGACAACCGTGCTGACGTGTTGCAAGGCGAGCGTAGTAGAAGAAGAAGCCCATGTCTTCAGGGAGAGCCATCATCTTCATCGAGCAGAACTAAAGGAAATTTTCTTGCGACTAGTAACTCATCTTCCTCCTCGATACTAGTCGACCAAGATGAGGCTAGCGATGAGTATTCCTCAGTTTTATCATCTTCAAGGTCGTCGTCTTCAAGCGATATAGTGGTGCTGGACGACGACGACGACGAGGAGAGCTTTGACGAGCAAAGGGAAGTTGTTTCATCTACAAAGCAAAGAAGAAAGCGAGCAAGAGGGAGATTGAAGGATTCTTCGAATCTGCTGCGTGATCCGAAGAGGCGCTGCTCTGAAAAAAGCATAGTGGGGCACTACGACAACAAAACGAAAAATCGGACAAAGGAGAAGCGTCGGGAAGATCAAAACGTTACTCTTGTCGAAGAAAGTGACGATGACTTAAGCAGCAGTCGTGGCGGTAGAAATAGTGGGACTCTGCTCCAGGCAGAAGCTGTCCCGCAAAATACAAAGCGAATCCACGGTAGTCGCAAACATGGGGAAAAGCACCTCCAGCAAAGGCCTGGCAGGGGTTCAAAACTGACGTCCCGCACGCCGTCCTGTCGGAAACACATCAATAATAAGGCTGAAGTGTTTAACCTTCCAAAAACCAAATTCTTGCTTACACAACTCTCAAGATTATTTTCAAGCAGGAGACTTGATGATATGAAAACTAGGTTTCATCTGGTAGATACAGCATCTAGGAATGATCCACACTTAATCACTCTTCTAACAAGCTGGTTACCAGCGAGTCCTGTTCTTCGTCCAGTATCGTGGAAACCGATCTCTCTTCGCAGGAATCCATGGACCATTTTGCTTATCGTTGGCCTGTAGGCATGAGTTTCGCATGCGAGGATGAGGATTCGTCACCAGAGGTACAATTTGGGAGTTCATCTACGGGCGTCGATCAACAACTAAGTTGGGGCACTGACTACTCGGCGCCTTCATCTAGTAGGGGTGCAGGAGCTTCAACTAGTGTTGAGGCAAATCCATCCTCGTGTAGCGCTAGGAAGAGAAAATCGTTACGAAGGAGTAGGCGGATGACAACTACGGAAGACGACATGAAGAGCCCACAAACTTCCACCTCAAGGGAACAACGAGGAATAAAGAATAGAGGTCGTATGTCTGAGCGCACGACTGCTGTTGGAAGTTCAGGGAGCCGCACTACAGCCGGGCGAAGCTGTATAGACAGCATGCTGCGGACAACATCTACTGGGTCAAGCGTTATCATGCCAGGACAGATCGCAGCCATGTCGCTAGCACGTCTCACTATGGACGACGGTGCTCTTGCTTCAGGCGAAGGGCGGAAGACAGGCTGTGAGGCTATGATGGGTGCAGAGAAAGCAACATCTTCAACGTCGAGACGATGTTCCGACTTGCTCGAGGAACAACTTATCGACAAACTAGGCCAAAAACCTGCTGCTCATTTCACGACAAGGCGGGTGTCGGACAGCGTTATTCCCTACGGGAAAGAGGGCGCGGCGTCGTCGCTCGCAAGTACGGTTACGCCGCGTAGAAAAAGACGTAGGAGTGTGGGCGACAGTTCGTTACGCTGTTGGAGCAAAACTCTAGTGACATCGTTTGCTGAGAATAGTATCAAGGTTGTCAAGGAGCAGGTGCAGGAAACACCACGTAGGCGTGTTGGAGGCAAAAGAGGAGTGGAAAGCAGCATCTCTCCAAAGTCTCTAGTACTGGATAGTGTCGAGAGATTTAGCGAGGAACAACAGCATCCGTCTGGCGTGCGCATCCCGAAGTTACCTCTTGCAGCACTCTCTCTAAGGAGAAGCCGAGAACCTGGCGGTCAGGATGATCTACATCCGGGAAGTGCATTGAACAGAAACAGCGCAAACAGAAGCTTTCCTCCGCTGAGACAAGAATGTGCAGCACGTCGTCCCGACTCTGGCTTCGCAAGTGAAGAGGACGAAGCTTGTTCTTCTTCACGTTTTAGTAGTGACGAAGACGAGGATGACGGTACTGTACTAGAAGAGGAAGAAGAGGAAGACAGCAATTGCAATTTCACAACAGAAGAAGAATCGTCATTGCCAGAGAGCGACGCGACTTTTCTGTACACATTTCGCGGATTTCATTTGGAAGACAGTGGAGACGAGGAAAAGAGGAGTAGAGGGGGAAGGCAAAAGAAGAAGTTATGGCTCATTTGAGGTACAGGTTTTTGTGAAGATCAAATGGGGGAAGCTTGACATCAAGGTTTGATATTCCTTTCGGAGACAAAAACTACAGCATCATCTGTAGATTTTGAAAATCTCTAAACTAACGAAAGTCCTCGGCGAGAAATAGAAGCTCTGTCGACGACGATCAGACTCCGGCATCCAAGGAAGACGAAGGACAGTTGATGCTCGACCTATCAGAAAGTGTTGCTCGAGCTGCTGTTTCTGGGGGACTCCAGCAACACAATCTGTATCTTCGAGGTGGCGATCCGGATGATGCTGGCGATACTTCTCCCAATGGAAGTGTGAACACGATTCGCTCTCCATGCTCTTCACTGGTAGACACTCCAAGGAGTCGAGGTGCGCAGGTGATAGGAACGTGCGACTACGTAGTAGAAGATCCAACGAGTCTTGATGGAACCGACGACACACTTGCATCAAACGCTCTCATTGCACAGGACTGCGCAGCATTGATCATATCTGGGGCGCTTTGTAATTCGCGGTCATTACGACCAGGGAGTGACTCTGAAAGCGACAGCAGCGGCGTTGAGACGGTGGTAGAGATAGATGTGAGCGATGATGACTCACCGAACAGGAAGCGAGAATCTCTAGATGACGACCCTGCTCTCCGGATAGATGCTCCTCGAGAGGATGTGGTCGACGTCGGGCGGAGTCGATTGTGGACTAGTGCTCGGGAGAATTTGGTCGACGTCGATTGTGACCTGAATTTCTGCGCGGAAGAGGAGTCTGAGACAGCGCCTCAAAATCCTGCTTTATCTGTACGCGACGAAAATAGATTGGTGGAGCCAAATATTGAAGAAATAGCAGAAGGAGAGATTCCGATAGAACTCGAGTGTGGCACTCCTGCTGCGACGGCCCTATCACGGCTGCATCAGGCCGACCCTATCATGGCTGCATCAGGCTGCGCAGAAGACGACGAGGAGGCTTCTCTCGACACTGAGGCTGTCGCTCCTGATGCACAGGCTGCGCAGGCTTCTCTCGACACTGACGCTGTCGCTCCTGATGCAGAGACCGAGTCTCCTGTAGTGTCTGACGGCACTACAGGAGAGCCGGTCTCTGCATCAGGAGAGGCCGCCGACGCGGATGGTGAAGAACCGCGTGCAAGGATTGCAAAGGCTGAGTTCGTATCACAACAGCTAGACTACGACATCACCTCACTGCAACCTGCAATAATTGCAGACGAAGATGAAGATGATGACCTTTCACCAGTTAGCTCCGTCAAGTCCACGACCAACAGTGAAAAACCTCCAACGCCAGTAGCAGCAGAGGTTTCGGGTACTCCGGATTCATCATTAGACCTGAGTTTTCAATCTTGCGTTTCGCATAGCGAGGAAGCTTTGTCTCAGGTCGAGAGTGAGCAAATAAACAGAACATCCATAGTACTCGACAGCAGGGATGAAGATGATCACAGCATTTTCGTCACACCATTAGATTTGAACAATAGTGTCGTAGCAGATCACTTGGAGGTTGAAACTATAGAAGATTTGGAGGTTAGTACGGGGAGCCAAGATGATGATACAAACAAGGTTGCGCGTATAGGACCTGATCCAGTCATAATGGCTAGCCCTGAATTCGTAGTAGAAGATGAGGCGGATCAGGCAACTGTGAGCTCCAGTCTTCCAATAGATGCGGAAAACAGTGGAAGTCGAAGTGACACCACGCAGGATGCTAGCTGTAAGCAGGATACTAGGAGGAGGAGGACAATCGCGGTGAGAGAAATTGCTACCAATATTGATCCGGGACCAGGTGTTTTGTCGTCTTCATCTTCCTCGCGTCGTTTCTCAGTGCCTACGGACCGCATTCAACCTAGTGACTCTTCCTCATCTAAGCGGGAGCAAAAGCAAAACCACAAAAGTCAGAGGAGATCAACAGATACACTACCAACAAAAAACACATCTGCTTCTACAGGCTCTAGTACCGCGAGGAGTGTTCAATCAAGGTCAAGGAGAAGCATAATGCGAGAGCAAGATCTTTCGAAACATCCGGAGCCAAACCGAGATCCCGCTTCCACTTCTGAAGATACCAAATCCCGCATAAGAAACCCGACACTGTCTGCCCGATCATTGAAACCAGGTCGTGCAGTACGAGAGCAGAAGACGTCCTCTTCTTGTTGTAATACATCTATGTTGGCCTCCTCCACGAGATGGGCGAAAGTTAGGAATGCAACACTAGTCTCCTCGCGAGTTCGAGAGTTCGATTTTCTTGCTTACAAAAAAGCACGTGGCGGCGCGAACACAAGTACGGCTGCTACAGGTGATGGTGCGATTGCCACAGGGGGCGGCGCAAGCACTTGTTCTGTGCTGCCGTCACTCGGTGCAGTTCAAAGGTGCAGCATTGCGGCGAGTAGCACCGGTACAGTTCTAGACTCAACAAAGAATGATAACTACAGTACAAAAGTCAAGCAAGAACTAGTAGTGGTCCACGATGAACAAAAGGTTTCGAGCAGCGGGAGCTCCGATGCTGAACCACCCAATGATACCAGTGCACAGGAACAAGAACGACTAGTTCGTGCCGCAGCTACTTCTGAGGTAAACGACCAAGCTTGTGAAGCTCCGACTGTTGGTTACGCTCATAATGAAAATGAAGTAAAAAATGAAGCTGGGAGAGGGATTGTTCCCACTCCTGGCACAGCGCATTTCGATTTTACGCAGCATCGACATCGAAAGTGGAAAAAGTAGTTTTTTTCGCTCTGTTTCAAAATTCGGCCTATTTAAACTAGAGGCTGAACAAGGTCGGTGAGTGTCATGGTTGATCTTGATTGTATACTCAATAATAGTATCTAAACTTCAACACAAGACAGTAGACGCTAAAAAATTAGCGTCGTGAAGGTTGGTGATTGTCATGGTTGATTGTATACTCAAGAATAGTACCCTCGTTAGGATAGTTGTCATGTGTCATGGTCGATTAACGTAGCCTAGTTTCACTTGCCTTCTCAGTCATCATCAGGTGTCACGTCAGTTTGATATAAGCCAAAGTCGTATTTGTGAGGCCATGAACAAATCGGGGTTCTTTTCTTTTCCATGGAGTTCTCTTGTATATGCCGGAAACGCCGTATATTGTTACCAATTACTTACCATCAAGATGAATTCGTTCTGCTCATCTTTTTAGAATTCTGTCATGATAGCGTATTTGGGTACGCTCCCTTCGTCGAGTCGACGAAGAATTTGTTTTTCTTTTCCCTATACAGTCATGGTATCTATGTGGAAGATGGAAAAATTCCTCAACATGTTGTTGAACTTACAAGGCGAAGGTTCTTGCCTGGATTAGATGAAAAGAACTTTTCTGAAGCTCTTAGCGTTTGTATTCTTATCTGCGTGCGTCTTGAAAAAGTTTGAAGGCATGGACTTGATTGATTCTCTATAGGCACCATTGAGTGCCATACCTTGCTCACCAGCTCAATCACCATTGAGTGCCATGCCTTGCTCACCAGCTCACTTCAATTTCTTGGGATGACTCCAAAACAACGATCCTCTGATTTTCATTGCAGCGTGAGTCGGTGCGTGCCGCAGCACACGTTGTCGGTTGAAAAAGGTTGTTGTACAGGAAACTATTATTTGTCGTCAATACCAAGTAGATACATGGCTCGCACCTTCTCCAGTTCCACATCCTTGAACTGACGCAGGATAAGAATTCATTGTGGTTGTACAACTTCTTGGAAATCTATTTTTAGTGAAACAGGGCGAGATGAAAAGAAGTAAACAACTAGTACATTTCCCCTAAACTATAGAAAGGATCGGAAACCTAATCTTACCTTATCATTAGAGAAGAAACCTAGAAAATTTTCGTGAGTGCGTACTCTGTTGGAATTTTCAACTCAAAAATTGTTGTTACTACACCGTAATATTTTGATTTTTCGTAGTTTTCTCCCGTAGTAAAAGATATTTTTAGTGCTTATATCTTACGCTCATTGAAGAGGACTAATCTGGATCTTCATACTCATAGATTGTTCACACCATAAGAATGGATACTTCTCGAATAGTGAAGAGTGGCAAGGCCTCTGGTGGCAAGGCTTCTGCTGCCAAGGCTGCGGCTGTCAATGCCTCTCCCGCTAAAGCGGGTTCTCAACATGGTGCCGCTGTCGCATCGTCATCTTCTCCCGCTCCCGCAGGTGGTAAATCTTCGGTTGCCAAACGTGCGTCTCACGCAGGAGATGGTGGTGCGGGGCCTGTAAGCTCTGGGAAACGGGCGAGTCGTACATCTTCGTCCTCGGAGGACAAAGGGGGGAAACGGCAGAGCAAAGGCGGAGACGAACATGGAAAAAACGTTTTCTCCAGTTCTTCCGATGATGGTACAAACCAAAAGATGCAATCACCCAACGCAAAGATGCAAAGATCCGGAAGCCGACCCTCTAAGATGGCAAAGATCGAAAGTAACACAAATGTCGAGGACGTTGTACACCAAACTTCTAAATTAAGGGTACAAGAAATCTCCCATTTTCAGAGGCATCCTGGTCCCGTTTTTTAAAGGGAAAAGGAGGCCCAAGATTTGCTGCTGAGGATGAATTTTCATTATAGTTCTAACTAAAGTCGAAGAAGCAATAAATGCGTCCCGTGTCTTCGAGCAAGAAGGAAGTCAACAGCAACATCAAGATCAAGGGAATCGTCAGGAGACAACGAATCTCAATGTGCACCAACATGTTGTCGAGTCTCCGCCAGCTTCTCAACGGACACGTATGAGCAGTCCGCCAGCAGGGTTACCATGTTCAAACCTGAAACATCAACTGGCTGCTTCCGCGGATAAGGCTACATCGGCAAGCAGCTCAGTCAAAATTAAGGGTTCCCCTAATCTCGTCCCATTTTGAGAGTAAAACATTTTGAAGGACCTGTCTTGTCCCATGATGAGGGGCAAAGAACAGCTCTATAAGATGAGCTTGAAATCATGAGATCTGGGTGAGTTCTAAGAGAAGCTCGGTAGAAAAAGGGCAGAGAAGAGCAGCCAGGTTCTCTTTTGCGAAAGACGAGCAAGACAGTGTGCGCGCGGGGCTTTTGAGCGAACGCTTTCCGTTTGACTCTCGTTTATGGCATTTCTTTTAGTTCTAGAATGGAGAAGCTAGGGTCCTCGTAAGATTTGTTCATATGAGACGAACAGGCAGTCACTGGGGTCACTTGTAATGGTGTTTAAGACCACGTTTCGGCAAAAATTGTATCAATCTTAAAGGGAGATGTAGTCGGACTTATTGCCACTCTCATTTGTGCAGTTGATGGTCCATTTTCTTGATGCTGTGGCGAAGTCTGACGATCCCGCGTTAGATCGCTTCAGTGCACTGCTGCGCGATGGCGTCGATGCTTGCGAGCAGGAAATCCTGAGGCGCGTTGAGGTACTTACATACTCCTTGTGCATCTCTATCTTAGAAGACTTGTGAATCTCCATCTCAGAACTGACAGAAGATCATGAGTTACTCCTGCCTGTTTAACACACCATTGGTCACCAGTTTACTATGGTAGATGTAGAAGTAGCAAGAACCACTACTTGTTGTATATTTCACTTCATCTAGGTAAAAGAAGCCGAAGTGACCCACCTAGAGCACGTGCTCAAGGAGGACCTCCGATTAGAACGTCATCGAGCAGAGGAAGAGCTTGCAGAGGCTGTAATCGCGGGGAGACAGCTGCAAGAAAAGGTGAAGGATGCTGAATCTATCCTGGAAGATTGGAGGAAAAGCGCTTATGAGAACAAGAGAAAGGCGGGAGAGGTACTATTTCACTTAGACCTACAACTACCTGGATAGTGTACTTTTTTATCCGCCACCATTTATTATGAAAGAAGTCTTTGTAACAATTTATCCTAAATCACAACACGCAAGGTCGCAGAGCGCGTCACAGGTCTGAAGATTCAGCGGGAGCAATTCGATGTAGTCTATGCGGATTTCAAGCGGTTGCGGGAATCACCGAAGGATCGCGCCATGGCGGACTCGTGGGCAGCTTGCTTTCGGGCACTTTTTACTTAAGGGTGGTGACCCTCGGAGTTGATCTAAAAGTAGCTAGAAATAGTTCTTCGCACTTACTTGTATGACACTCACAACTATATATTTCTGAACTACATAAAAATTTTCAGGGCCTCTAAGCCCCTCGCTGATCTAGGTGGCGCACTATCTGGGATAGGGGCTTCTGGGTCGGCCTGGTGGTTATGCATATAGGATAGTGTAGGCGTAAGTAGTTTAACTAGCTAGTTAAGATGGTTCCACTGGAGAAGAGGAGGTCTGCAGCTGCTGATCTAGGTGGTAGCTCTTCGCACTTACTTGCAATAGTATTGTTTTCGACTTATATTGTTTAAAGGGTCCAAAGATTACAAGAGCTTATTGCATTTCCAACACGGGTCAAGGGTCCAAAGATTACAAGAGCATATTGCATTTCCAACACGGGTAGTTGTACCAAGGGTCCAAAGATCATTACAAGAGCATATTGCATTTCCAACACGGGTAGTTGTACCAGACGAACCTTTCTAACTCATGATGGACTCTAGTAGTGGCGCAGCTAGTTCTTCTACGGATTCTCTAGCTTCTGAATCGGCCGATACAGAGCGTCGTGGCGCGATCGTCCAAACCTTGAGAAAGATCGTCCCGAACGAACAAAGCTTGGTGTCTGCCGCGCAAGCAGCACTAGGCAAGAACAACGGCGGCGACTTTGACACAGAGACTCTCGATGAAGTGGCGGAAATATTTAAGAGGTACCAGTAGTACAGTATAATACGAATACTTACTCCATGAAAGAAGTTTTGACTTCTAGTGCCTATTTTGACGAGTGCTTATCTCCTTCCTGAACCATTTGTAGCAACGCTTTTATCTGAGTATCCTCCGTGGCTTTCTTTAGAAGTAGAGAGTTTCATCTCCTAACAACTTGGTTAGCCGGTCTGTCATGTTCAACATTCTCTTCGTCTCATCTCCAAAACAAAGGTACAGCTCGTCTCTTTTCCGTGATATCGCCGAAGGCGAACACCAGGCTGGTGAACTGAGCGTGGAGGAACGTCTCATCGCAACACGCGTAGAAGCTGAAAAAAAGGCGCTTTCAGCTGCATCTGACGTCCACAGCAAGTGGGAAATCGTCGTCACTAAAAAACGAAGCACTCTCTATCGGATAGAGGATCGAATTCGTGTGCAAGAAAGATCGCTGGCCCAAAAACGCGCAGAACTGGAGTCGGGATTACGCATGGACCTTTTGGCTTTTCGGAAAACAGTGAAACTGGCTTTGAGCCGACTTCTGCTGAAACGCAGAACGAGTCTATGTTGAGGAGAATGTTCTTGGGGGTGAGCTGGCTAAAATGATGGGAGACAACATCAGTATCCCTTCATCTTTTACATGTTGTACTTGTACCGTTCATATCATGCCAGTTGTCACATGCCAGCGCAAATGATACTACAGTAAAGAGCAGAATAAGAAATAAGACCGTCTGCCTTGATATTGAAAGTACATGCTGCATGAGGAAATGAAACTAATGAGGAAGACGAGACTTCGATGCGCATCGTCTGAAAAACCGATATCTCGAGAAAATTTATGTCACTCTCAAAAAACAACTCTCATTTCGAAAACTGGTCTTGGCGATAGCCTCAACATCCTTCGACACAACACGATTTCCCAACTGGAACTCGATCTGCGGTTCTTCAATTTCTCAACAACAACTTTCTGTCCTTGTTCTTTCCGCGGTCGGGTCCTTCGAAGCAGTTATGGTTCATTTTGATCGAAATGGAATGGAATGCTTTGCAGAATACAAATAGGGTCTCTCCGTCCTTCTATTTTTGATTTTCGAGAACTTCTTTTAAGGCTCAACTTTCAATGGTCATTGGGGTTGGTCACTGAGATCGAAGAGGCGACCCCTTGAGACAACAGGGGAAAACGAAGGGAAAGAAGGGGGTCTCTTGCGTTCAGCATCAGTGACCATTGAATGCTGAGCTTTAATTTTTTACATAGTTCCTGCTCACAGACCGTAATTGGGATATACAAAATTCGAAAAAAAAGTTTGCTTTCGGACAACTAGAAATTCCGTTGTGGGAGCAACACCACCATGGTACACAGTACTACTTACAGACGAGGCCACAAATAATAGAAAAGATGGTAGTCCCTTTGCCACCCACAAGTGTCTCCGTGCCAGACAGTGGGTGCCGTGCACCGCTGCTGACGAGTAAGGAGAACTTTTCGTCTTCTCCGTTGCCACCAGTGGTGAACGCAAGCTACCACCATGCCGGATCTGGATGGACATTCAAGCTGTTTCAGTCAGCAATGCTGGAATCGAGTGCGGCTGACAAACTCGCAGAAAACCTCTGGCCCCAACCTTGCATGCTGTTCGATGCGAAGATGGAGGTATCATTTATAGGATTGGTAGACTGAAGTACGCAGTACTAATTTCGAAGCTGAAATAATCTTCGGGTAGTTCTTGCCATTGTTCCGTCGACTGGCAAAAGATAGTTTGCCGTTCCTCTTCCATTAAGGAGGAAAGTTGAACTATGCCCCCCATCTCTTTTTCTCCACTGTCTAAACCAGGTCACAACTTCTACCGGCGAAACGGTACTCTCCGTTACCACGTCAGACATACTCCAAGGCATGCGCATGGATATGAGGAAGGACTCCCTATCCGACGAAAATAATGGCAATCTGTTGACTACGGCCGGTGGAACACAGTCGTGCTGTCACTCGTTGCTGCAGCCAGTGAGGTGTCAACATGCGGACAAATGGAGTCAGGGGAGGACTCAAGTGCAGCGCACTGCAGCTGAAGTAGCTAAAGAGATGTCCAAACCAGAATGCGATTGGACCTACACTACCAGTACACGTGTCAGCCCATCAACATCAACTTCTACCCGTAGAAGTGTTCCTTACACCACAGTGTACCATTTTTGTAGCTCAGCCGACTTGGCAAATAATAGTACTGCAGAACAACAACCAAAACCAACAACGTCTCTCCTCCCGATGCCCCTCTTAACAAGACAGTCAGATCCCATTGAATTTTATCAGCAGATGTACTTCTTCGAGGATGAGCTCGATGACGAAGGTTCCGCGCACTGCACATTGAAGATAAGGGTCCAGAAAAACTTCTTCTTCATCCTTCTGCAGAACGAAGTGAGAGTAGACAATGTGCTAGTGAGGAAGCTGGAGACGAGATTTTTCGGAAACTTAGCGCCTCCGGAAGTGGCGGTGGAATTGGAAGGACCACCTCTGTCTGCTCCTGCTGGGTCTTCCAGTAACGTAGAAGAGGTGGAATCTTCGAGCACTTCAGACCCCAAGCAGACACTTATCGCTACATCACCGCGGACGGGCCGATTGTTGTTGCGACCAAGAGGCATTCTGCGTGAGTGGAGCTATCAAGAAGCGACGTTTGATGAATTAAAGTTATGCCAACATTTTCATAAACTGGAACGCAGAATAGAAGTAGCGCTGCTTTTTTCAATGTCCTTTTTTCTATCTTAGAAGAAACAGAAAGCGAAGCTACTTGTTGCAGTTTGACAACTGATAATGATAAATATAATGAGTTACGACTACGTCAATTATCTGATCTTGCATCTACTCATATTTTTCACAGTTGTTTCAAAATAATGTTCCTATTGTTCCTCTAAGAAAAAAGCGTGGAGACTTGGATCCTGAGTGTCCTGAACAAATAGCGACGACGACAGGCATGCTGAAGGAACAACAGGATTTGAAACTGCGACAATCTTGCGTCTATTATGCGGACGCAGCGTAAGAATGGCGAGGATAGACGGCTGCACTTTCGTACACAAGTAGAGCTGCTATATTCCGTTCTTTCTCGTGATGACAGGAGGACTGGAGAATGATGAAGCCTTGGTGGAACTGGTGGGGACAAAGCCATGGCTGTGTCCATGACGGTTCCACCCTATTGCCTCTGTCTCGGACCAAGCACCACTCATCCTCTGGAAATTCCTTCAGGATAATAGAGGCCCACAAGATTGAGCAGACACGACCCTCATGCTTAATATAACTCATCCATCGGAAAACTTACTATATAACCCTGCCTTCCTTTCTCCCATGACGAATCAACATTCCCTTCATCATTAACACTTCGTCTTTGACGACCACTGCTTATTTCGGATCAACACTGGACGAGAACAAAGTTTACAGTTCTTTCTTATATTTTTTCACCCAGTGACGGGGTGAAACGATGATGCAAAACGTCTTCCTTGCACGAAATGGGGATCGGAACCCATTTTGCATGCAAGCGTGTGCCCATCATTCTATTCAAGTTTTTGGGAAAGCAAAAAGCTCATGATAGGTGCTTGGCGATGTCAGGATCGGTGCTTAGCGAGTCTCTGAATTAAGAGAGAGAGAGACCGAGTGCAGTACTATTTAACAAGGAGAGAGAGAGACGAAGACAGAACTTCTAATACTGTAACAGTGTACTCCTTTCATCTGTGCCGCAAGTGGCCCAAGATCTGTGTGACAACGTCGGTGCACGAAAATCGAGACCGGCTCGGTGGTTTCTCTTCTGCCTGCAGAGGGCCGAAAGCTCTTGTTTTGTGTTGTCTGCAGATGGCCCGTTCCAAAACGACCTACGGAAGGAACGTTGAGGACAGTCTTTCAGGCCTTTCTTGCGGGAGTCTTGCGAGTTGTCAGAGAGTCCGTGCGCATGCGTCGGCATGGAGTGCGGGAACCAAGTCTGAGTGATGAAGATAGTCGAACACATACTAGTAATAGTACTAGGGTCGTGAAACAACCCAAGCCCAGTAACATGTACCCCCAATGATTCACAGTTTTTAGTTTTCAAGGACTCCTTCCAAGCGTTTTGAGTTACTGGTTTGTTATTTGTTGCTGGGGTGTTTCTTGCGTGGCATGGCACATGAGGAGGCGCCATGACATTACGCATGACACGTAGGACAGCTCTGAGGGCTCTGCGCGGTGCACTTACATCCAGAGCAGTCTGCGTCTTTCATCGCTAAGAAGCAGAACCAGACAAAACAGAGCATAGGCAGCGCAAAGCTTTGCTCAGATGTTTGTGTGTGCAGACAAGGAAAACGCGCGGCGAGGCCTCAGGCCTGTGCGGCTTTTACCGGCTTCCCGATGGTCCGGCCCGTTGCTTGGTTCGGTTTTTCCGGGTTTTCTTTGGGTTTCTGCCGGGCTCTTCACGGACCGCGTGGCGGCTCTTTGCTGTCTTGGTTGGTTGGTTCGGTTTGTCCGGGTGTTGTTTGGGTTTCTGCCGGGCTCTTCACGGACCGCGTGGCGGCTCTTTGCTGTCTTGGTTGGTTGGTTCGGTTTGTCCGGGTGTTGTTTGGGTTTCTGCCGGGCTCTTCACGGACCGCGTGGCGGCTCTTTGCTGTCTTGGTTGGTTGGTTCGGTTTGTCCGGGTGTTGTTTGGGTTTCTGCCGGGCTCTTCACGGACCGCGTGGCGGCTCTTTGCTGTCTTGGTTGGTTGGTTCGGTTTGTCCGGGTGTTGTTTGGGTTTCTGCCGGGCTCTTCACGGACCGCGTGGCGGCTCTTTGCTGTCTTGGTTGGTTGGTTCGGTTTGTCCGGGTGTTGTTTGGGTTTCTGCCGGGCTCTTCACGGACCGCGTGGCGGCTCTTTGCTGTCTTGGTTGGTTGGTTCGGTTTGTCCGGGTGTTGTTTGGGTTTCTGCCGGGCTCTTCACGGACCGCGTGGCGGCTCTTTGCTGTCTTGGTTGGTTGGTTCGGTTTGTCCGGGTGTTGTTTGGGTTTCTGCCGGGCTCTTCACGGACCGCGTGGCGGCTCTTTGCTGTCTTGGTTGGTTGGTTCGGTTTGTCCGGGTGTTGTTTGGGTTTCTGCCGGGCTCTTCACGGACCGCGTGGCGGCTCTTTGCTGTCTTGGTTGGTTGGTTCGGTTTGTCCGGGTGTTGTTTGGGTTTCTGCCGGGCTCTTCACGGACCGCGTGGCGGCTCTTTGCTGTCTTGGTTGGTTGGTTCGGTTTGTCCGGGTGTTGTTTGGGTTTCTGCCGGGCTCTTCACGGACCGCGTGGCGGCTCTTTGCTGTCTTGGTTGGTTGGTTCGGTTTGTCCGGGTGTTGTTTGGGTTTCTGCCGGGCTCTTCACGGACCGCGTGGCGGCTCTTTGCTGTCTTGGTTGGTTGGTTCGGTTTGTCCGGGTGTTGTTTGGGTTTCTGCCGGGCTCTTCACGGACCGCGTGGCGGCTCTTTGCTGTCTTGGTTGGTTGGTTCGGTTTGTCCGGGTGTTGTTTGGGTTTCTGCCGGGCTCTTCACGGACCGCGTGGCGGCTCTTTGCTGTCTTGGTTGGTTGGTTCGGTTTGTCCGGGTGTTGTTTGGGTTTCTGCCGGGCTCTTCACGGACCGCGTGGCGGCTCTTTGCTGTCTTGGTTGGTTGGTTCGGTTTGTCCGGGTGTTGTTTGGGTTTCTGCCGGGCTCTTCACGGACCGCGTGGCGGCTCTTTGCTGTCTTGGTTGGTTGGTTCGGTTTGTCCGGGTGTTGTTTGGGTTTCTGCCGGGCTCTTCACGGACCGCGTGGCGGCTCTTTGCTGTCTTGGTTGGTTGGTTCGGTTTGTCCGGGTGTTGTTTGGGTTTCTGCCGGGCTCTTCACGGACCGCGTGGCGGCTCTTTGCTGTCTTGGTTGGTTGGTTCGGTTTGTCCGGGTGTTGTTTGGGTTTCTGCCGGGCTCTTCACGGACCGCGTGGCGGCTCTTTGCTGTCTTGGTTGGTTGGTTCGGTTTGTCCGGGTGTTGTTTGGGTTTCTGCCGGGCTCTTCACGGACCGCGTGGCGGCTCTTTGCTGTCTTGGTTGGTTGGTTCGGTTTGTCCGGGTGTTGTTTGGGTTTCTGCCGGGCTCTTCACGGACCGCGTGGCGGCTCTTTGCTGTCTTGGTTGGTTGGTTCGGTTTGTCCGGGTGTTGTTTGGGTTTCTGCCGGGCTCTTCACGGACCGCGTGGCGGCTCTTTGCTGTCTTGGTTGGTTGGTTCGGTTTGTCCGGGTGTTGTTTGGGTTTCTGCCGGGCTCTTCACGGACCGCGTGGCGGCTCTTTGCTGTCTTGGTTGGTTGGTTCGGTTTGTCCGGGTGTTGTTTGGGTTTCTGCCGGGCTCTTCACGGACCGCGTGGCGGCTCTTTGCTGTCTTGGTTGGTTGGTTCGGTTTGTCCGGGTGTTGTTTGGGTTTCTGCCGGGCTCTTCACGGACCGCGTGGCGGCTCTTTGCTGTCTTGGTTGGTTGGTTCGGTTTGTCCGGGTGTTGTTTGGGTTTCTGCCGGGCTCTTCACGGACCGCGTGGCGGCTCTTTGCTGTCTTGGTTGGTTGGTTCGGTTTGTCCGGGTGTTGTTTGGGTTTCTGCCGGGCTCTTCACGGACCGCGTGGCGGCTCTTTGCTGTCTTGGTTGGTTGGTTCGGTTTGTCCGGGTGTTGTTTGGGTTTCTGCCGGGCTCTTCACGGACCGCGTGGCGGCTCTTTGCTGTCTTGGTTGGTTGGTTCGGTTTGTCCGGGTGTTGTTTGGGTTTCTGCCGGGCTCTTCACGGACCGCGTGGCGGCTCTTTGCTGTCTTGGTTGGTTGGTTCGGTTTGTCCGGGTGTTGTTTGGGTTTCTGCCGGGCTCTTCACGGACCGCGTGGCGGCTCTTTGCTGTCTTGGTTGGTTGGTTCGGTTTGTCCGGGTGTTGTTTGGGTTTCTGCCGGGCTCTTCACGGACCGCGTGGCGGCTCTTTGCTGTCTTGGTTGGTTGGTTCGGTTTGTCCGGGTGTTGTTTGGGTTTCTGCCGGGCTCTTCACGGACCGCGTGGCGGCTCTTTGCTGTCTTGGTTGGTTGGTTCGGTTTGTCCGGGTGTTGTTTGGGTTTCTGCCGGGCTCTTCACGGACCGCGTGGCGGCTCTTTGCTGTCTTGGTTGGTTGGTTCGGTTTGTCCGGGTGTTGTTTGGGTTTCTGCCGGGCTCTTCACGGACCGCGTGGCGGCTCTTTGCTGTCTTGGTTGGTTGGTTCGGTTTGTCCGGGTGTTGTTTGGGTTTCTGCCGGGCTCTTCACGGACCGCGTGGCGGCTCTTTGCTGTCTTGGTTGGTTGGTTCGGTTTGTCCGGGTGTTGTTTGGGTTTCTGCCGGGCTCTTCACGGACCGCGTGGCGGCTCTTTGCTGTCTTGGTTGGTTGGTTCGGTTTGTCCGGGTGTTGTTTGGGTTTCTGCCGGGCTCTTCACGGACCGCGTGGCGGCTCTTTGCTGTCTTGGTTGGTTGGTTCGGTTTGTCCGGGTGTTGTTTGGGTTTCTGCCGGGCTCTTCACGGACCGCGTGGCGGCTCTTTGCTGTCTTGGTTGGTTGGTTCGGTTTGTCCGGGTGTTGTTTGGGTTTCTGCCGGGCTCTTCACGGACCGCGTGGCGGCTCTTTGCTGTCTTGGTTGGTTGGTTCGGTTTGTCCGGGTGTTGTTTGGGTTTCTGCCGGGCTCTTCACGGACCGCGTGGCGGCTCTTTGCTGTCTTGGTTGGTTGGTTCGGTTTGTCCGGGTGTTGTTTGGGTTTCTGCCGGGCTCTTCACGGACCGCGTGGCGGCTCTTTGCTGTCTTGGTTGGTTGGTTCGGTTTGTCCGGGTGTTGTTTGGGTTTCTGCCGGGCTCTTCACGGACCGCGTGGCGGCTCTTTGCTGTCTTGGTTGGTTGGTTCGGTTTGTCCGGGTGTTGTTTGGGTTTCTGCCGGGCTCTTCACGGACCGCGTGGCGGCTCTTTGCTGTCTTGGTTGGTTGGTTCGGTTTGTCCGGGTGTTGTTTGGGTTTCTGCCGGGCTCTTCACGGACCGCGTGGCGGCTCTTTGCTGTCTTGGTTGGTTGGTTCGGTTTGTCCGGGTGTTGTTTGGGTTTCTGCCGGGCTCTTCACGGACCGCGTGGCGGCTCTTTGCTGTCTTGGTTGGTTGGTTCGGTTTGTCCGGGTGTTGTTTGGGTTTCTGCCGGGCTCTTCACGGACCGCGTGGCGGCTCTTTGCTGTCTTGGTTGGTTGGTTCGGTTTGTCCGGGTGTTGTTTGGGTTTCTGCCGGGCTCTTCACGGACCGCGTGGCGGCTCTTTGCTGTCTTGGTTGGTTGGTTCGGTTTGTCCGGGTGTTGTTTGGGTTTCTGCCGGGCTCTTCACGGACCGCGTGGCGGCTCTTTGCTGTCTTGGTTGGTTGGTTCGGTTTGTCCGGGTGTTGTTTGGGTTTCTGCCGGGCTCTTCACGGACCGCGTGGCGGCTCTTTGCTGTCTTGGTTGGTTGGTTCGGTTTGTCCGGGTGTTGTTT